TCTAACGGTTGCCTGACTGTCGTCCTGGGGTAGTTGCGTCTGTTCGTCCCGCATTGAAACGAAAAGCTTCTGAAGAATGCTAGAGTGTCCGGTATCCCACGCATAGTATGCACTGGTGTTAGACGTGAGGAAACTATACACCTGATGGTGGGCAGAGGGTGAGATGGGCCAAGTGGTTAGAGCGCGAAGTTACTGTCCGGAAGGTCCGTGGTTCGAACACGACATCTGCCTGTTGACTTCCCCTGTCTAGGCTTGGGCAACCTGGCAGTATCCCAGCCCTCCTGCTTCCTTCGTATGGCTTGGCAACTAGGCACCGAAAGGGCGCTACAGCTGAACGATTTTGATGGTAGGGAGAGAAAAGTACGCAATTTTCAATTCAGAATTCTTCCTTTTAGGGGGGCTAAAAGCGGAGAGAGCTGAGAAGTCATCACTCCAGGAGCCGGCCAATACGTGATCACGTGGTGTGGTTTCTGTGACTGAGGGATGAGTGGCGCCATACTCTGTGTAAGTTAAAACAAAGTTATTAAGTCACTCGTTTTCCACCATGTTAGGCAGGAATCCACGCGGATCCCACTATACCGCACGTCTTTAGGCGCTGCTACGGCCGAGAAGCCTGGCCCGCTCGTGGTTGGCCCAGAATTCCGGACGCTTGCCGGTCCGACATCAAGACGAGATCTGATTGGTCAACAATCTGGACCCAACAGCCAATCATGACCCAGTATTGGCCAAATGCCGGTTGCCAATGCCGCATCCAGAACGCGTCAGAAATTCCAGAAAGTTATAACCGCTTACGCTATATATCCGAAGCGCTGTACAACTGTTCTTGACTTCGTTTTGGGCGTTAATAGACCTTGTGCACCTTTGGTGGTTGTTTTGACGTGAACGCAACTTGGGAGGTTCAGACCGAGAACTAAGCTGAGGAAAATACCGTTACTACACACCACTTGCCGGAAGGTCGCGGCTTTGAAACTTCCTACTGGATTGTCGTAAGTTGTGCACTACTGACGACTTATACCAAGGACGAAATGCCTGCACAAAGCTTCTCGGCTTTTCAACATAAGTTGGCTCAACTGACAAGTCGAAATCTCAGTTGAAACGTATAAAATTACTGCTTTTATACGAGGGATGGATAGGTTGATTGTAATCCACAATAGGTAATCAGGTGATCGCTGGTGCAATTGAAATTGTCAGTTGAACTGAATTGTTTGAATCGGGTTGAAATGTGAATTCTGTCCGTTTTAGGGGGAATAAAAACAGACATATGTGATTAATTGTTAACAAGAGCTGAACTGACGCAACATTTCACCACTCTATTTTTGCTTATGAGCACCTATAAGTTTACGGACCAAACCGCACAAAAGATGACATACCGTTTCTGTTGTTGGAGGAGGATGACGTAACCATTTGGTTGGCTGCGCCGGTACTGTGCATTGTGCCGTGTCGGGTCGACCCAAAAGACGAAAGGCTGCTAACACTGTTTGAGTGCGAATCAACCAGACGCCAGCGGGAGGGTGGTCCAGTTCTGGATATTGAATAAATAAAAATGGCGGGGAGTAGTAAAGCCACTAGTCTGCATGGTTCATACTCATCGAAGTTGGCGGCTGACCAAACCGAACATTATATTTCATTTAAGCTGTTTGCGTTTGATAAATCGATTGAGTTCATGGGTGGTGGACCATCACATAAGACCCCTCCTTAGAAAGAATCGGAGCTAGTGTTGCACCCGGTTAAGAGTACCTACTGGAGGCGCTTACGATTCACCGAAAAACAAATCGTTATCACGCGGCGACCTTCCTTCGGCTAGATTTTGACCGATGGAAGAACTTTTATAACCCCGTCAGGGAAGTGGAGACTTTTCGGAAGAGATAACTGTCATCCGGTCATAAAAAGTTACTGGCTCATAAAGTACATGAGCCCATCGATGCAGGTCAGTGAAACCATTCAAAATGATAATGGTGTGCCTCAAGTGCACAACGTAGATTGGAGAGAAAATGTCGTTTGGCCAATAAATACGATTGCTCAAAATCAGAATAGAGTTGATATTAGATATGCATGGTGCTCAGTGAAAACGATGTTGACGATTAGCATAACGAAATACTCCGAGCTAATGGCTGTTTTGATTGATAGGAACTACCACGCGGGTACACACGTGTTCCCTCCATCTGTCCACAGAAAATGTCATGACATGTCTATCTTTGTTCCTTACTTAACAAGTTTATATTAATATCTTGGCAGTTCTAATTGGTGAACGATGCTTACCACTCAGGCCCCGATTGATACCGGTGTAGCGGTGATACTAGTGATGGGAAGGCGTGTGAGTAGTATGTTTTCTCATAAATCCACTTCGCGTCTCTTGAAAAGTGAGATCTACTGCGGAATTTGTAGAGTCACTTGTAGCATTTGCTTGGATTTGAGTAACAGTCAATGAATATCCAGGAAAGTTCAGGAAGACGCGTTCAAAAAAGGAGATGGATATTCAGTTTTTGTAAACAAGATACATATGAGAGTTTTGCTCCCCTGTCCACTAGTTTGCATTTGTTCAATTGGCATTTTCCAGTAAACAATTCCGCAGCAAAGACCTTCTTCGTTTCATCGGTAGTCGGGCGAATATCATCTCTGACTTTCGACTGAATTCTCCTTGAAACTGGCTGTGTGATCTTTGTAAGCGGTGACATGGCGAATAAACTGGATATCGAGCGAAAAGTTGGAAAAAACGGGACGACCTTTACTCCCAAAAAACAACAGATTGGGATATCAAGTAAACTAACCTGAACCTAAAATTGCTCACAGATCTATTTATTTGCTCGCAGGGGTCTGGTCCGGAGTCACTCACTGGTGCAAGGGATGATGACCTTGGGTGGACAAAGTTACGACCGATATACTCGTTAGGCAAGTAATCTTTTCTCGGAGTCTGGTGTTTAGGGTTAGGTTCAGGGCTCGTCCTGGGAATTCCATTGCGTCCTAATGTGTTTCGTTTTATCTGTGTTTGAAAGTAAATAGAAAAAATATGGTCACAGGTCATGAATCTAAACACAGTCGAAAAACCCGGAGTGCATAGGTCTATTTGAAACTCCTGGATAAGTCAGCCGGGTAATTCTTATTGTGCAGTGAGGTTTAACCACCATCAAGACTGTTCCCAGTCTCCGGATAAATCACATGTATTCCGGATTTCGAAACTACAGCTAAAGCTTTTTCAACACACCTTCATCTGTTAAGTTTCAAGTTACGCACCGAAAGTCTACAGAGTAAGGGATCCTAGTCCCTAGAGTTCACTGCTTTCGAAAACATAGATTCCCAGTTACCGAGAATAACTCGGGCTGGGTTTTTCTGATGATTTCGACTTACATAAAGTCCGTAATTTGCCGCATTCCGGAACCCTTGCTGTAATGAACAGGCCTCTGTCAATTAGTTCTATCCGTTCATTGTTATAAAACGCATACGTTTTCACTTTTCACCGTTTAAAGAACCTATACCACATCCATTTTGTTGCTTTCCGATGTCCATTGGTCTTGATTGAAGGTTTGTTTGGTTTTTCCTGCGGATAACTTTATGCAGCTTTCCTATTTCAGATCGTAGCTGACCAGAAAGACATTTTCTAACGGTTATTGCCCGCAGTAGACGATGGTTGAATAGAGAATATCGCGTATAGCAGGACCTTCAAGAAGAATAGTTCGTCCTTGTTTTATAGGTGTGACTCATCGACGTATAAACGGCTACTCCAAACGCGATCCTCATTTTATAGATAGATATCCAATGATATTGTCTACCGCAGTCTTCCTTCGAAAAAATCAGTGCTCGAGGACAACGCATCACTACTGGGATAGGTCAACTATCGTCCAACTGAAGAACTACAACATCAGCTATCGTGAATGTTCAGCTGAACTATCAAATTAAATCAATTTCATCGGAGTTGACGCTGCTGTATACGCACTTCTTAGAAGGCGCATTCAAGTGTGCTGCTCGGCGTTGTATTCTACACAGTAAAGTCCCGCCCCAATTCCCCAACTTTTGAGCAGCACACCGTTACAGGCGTGACGTTTGTGCTGCAATCCTCATGGCCGTCGAGAGCCGTTTCCCTAATCACAAAAGGCATACGCACGCAAATTTATAAAACGCAAACTGAGATTGCTAGTTTCTACAAAACAAATAGTGAAAGTTATCATTTCTGACAGGTTTTCACAGGCTGGGCCGCCTTCACAAATGAGCTGTATAAACTGCACTCTGTATCTAATAGATGGGAACAAATCATTTTGCCAGGTTTCCATTTAAGGCTTAATTAACAACCTCACTAAGGGACTTATTAGTGTTTTTAGTCGATGGCTGAGAAGTCTTGGGTTCAGAAAGGCTCAGTAACCTACCAGTGTAACGGTGGTACTACTGATGGGGGAGGCATGCGAGTAGTATGTTTTCTCATAAATCCGCTTTGCCTCTCTTGAAAAGCGAGATCTATTGCAGAATTTGTCGAGTCACTTTGTAGCAGTTGCTTGGATTTGAGTAACAGTAAGCGAATATCCAGGAAAGTTCAGGAAGACGCGTTCAAAGAGAAGATGGGTATTCAGTTTTTGTAAACAAGCTACATATGAGAGTTTTGCTTCCCTGTCCAATAGTCTGTAACTGTTCAGTTGGCATTTTCTAAATAAACACTCCGCAGTGAAGGCCTTCTTTCCTTCCACAGTAGTTTTATATTTGGGCTTTGTTTCGCCTTTGACGCCAAAGCTTTATCTGGACAAGTGAGTAGATCACTAGATTGGACGAGAATTAAAATGGACGAAGAACCAACCACCAAGATCCCTTTTGACTAGCACAATGTTGGAACTTCCTGACAGTCATTGCAAGTGCCTGAATGTACAGACGGCGGATTGGAAGCATTTCAGATCTGGTTGCAGGTCCTCGATCTTCCGGTTCAGTAGCACCTCATCTGCTGACTCCCGTTGAGTGAGACTAGTAAATTTTGTTGGCCTGTTTCGGTTGATAAATGGCAAGACAACTTCAATACGAGATAATATTAAGTGAAATGACGGTCGTGTTGGGCCACTTCCTTCAAATCTAAGCTGTCTCTTTCGATGAAATTCCTCTACACTGATAACCGCATGTCATATTTTGTCACTTCGGTTAATTTAGAACCGCTCTCCGTACTCACTCCAGCCCTTAACCTGTTCTGTTCATACTGTGGTGATATGGCGTGAATCGCAGTCCTCACCTCAAAACCTCAATATTTTTTAATCTTATCCGTCATTTCATGTCCACTCAATGTCCCGTCCTTTCTGAGTCACTCTTCACGAGGCCTTTCAATGAAAACTTCATTCTGGGAACAGTCTTCTTCTATCCTGTAAAATGCTTCGCATTGACGAAGACTGAAAGACAATACAGTGATCATCCGATGCCAAAACGCTGTGTTTTCAAAATCAAGCCCATCACTGATCGCTCACTCTCAGCTGGTTCTGACCACTGGATTGTGAATACGATGAAATACCTCTACCGTCCAAGTTCACTTGGACTGACCAAAAACAAAGCGACACACCGTAATAACTCACCGTTTGATCGAAATTGTCCGTTTCGTCCTCACGACTTTGGTTTTTACTGTGCAAGAAACCAATCTGGCTGACGACGTGTCGCGGCGAACTCGCTCCAGAATTTGGGCCACTAGGACTGCTACAATCGGTGACTGGGTCATCTGCCACGACTGGTTTACGTGAAACAACCTGCAGCGAACAGCCCCCTGATGACAATGTTCGGCCTTTTCCTTGGCTGTTGATTGCCGGATCTTCTTTGTCCTTGTGTGTGGGAACCGATGGAGGATGATGGCTAGAAGATCGAGTACTGAACAGTACTGAAGGTGGGGATCCAGGATCGAAAACCTCAAGTAGCGGACGGAAAATCTCGTCCATATCCACCACAGATAGAAACAAGTTGGCACGCGCTTTGGCTATATATCGATCATAGGTGCGGTCGAAACTGACCGGATCATGTCTAATAATACCAGGATAATTTATGTACAAGAATGTTTCATCTGGACCCTGAGGACGACTGTTCACTCCGCGCTGTTTTTCAGATAATCTAATCGAGTTGGGTGGAGTAAATCTGTCCGGAATATCTGTTGGAACAACGCCTGTGAATTAAAAAGTTGAAGCATGCGCAAGGAATAGGTTAACAATAGCCACAATTTTGTTCAGATTTTTGCACACGCGTCCTTTGTAAAAAAAAAACGCCATCCAAACTATATTACTTACACGAATATGAGTAGCATGGTTGGATGAGATGTTATTGCATTCGATATACATAAGTGGATAATAAAAGACTTCCTTCATCACCATCGTGAGGATCGGCATGTAACTATAAAACTAAGGATCTCAAATTGTTCTGTAAACTCCTTGCTTTCAACAACTCTTCCTGCAGAAGAGATATCGTCGTACTACAACTCTTTGGATGTAGAGTTGTCTACTTTTCAAATTTTATCCTTGTGGTCACTGCTTGTTTCACGCACTATTACCTGATTTGTCAACCATGTAACCGCGGCTATCGTCCATCTCCGGGCCAAGGAGGTGACCCTGTTACAAGCACATTCGTTCTTCTTTATGGTAGTTGGGGGGCGAAAGGGACTAGAATAAGTGCTACAGGGTGCGAGTGAAACCGTTGAATCCAGCGTGCTGTGAGCGCGAATTCCAAAACTCCTGCAGCGACTTGCTACCGACCAAAGCGTTTTCCAGGAAGCTTCACAGGTCTGTGGGGCTATCTGAAACAGGCGGGGCAGCTAATTTACACAACTGAGACAACTACCGGGTCGTCATTTGCGGAGTCGGACAGACACACACAAGCACACACACGCACATGCACGAACACGTTCGCCTGCTCAGATGCAACAATTCAGGTGCCTCCACCAGTGGAGTAGTGGTAACACTCGTTCAAGGCGTCCGGAGTTCAACTATCGTCAGACCAAAGAAATGCACTGCTGACGAGATCTAGTAAAGGGGGAATTCAGCGTGAACTCAACAAAATGTTTGGCGCATTAACTTGGCCAGGAACACAGTGCGTCTGGTGCGTAGACTCTTGAAAAATCAGCGCTACTAACGATGGTAGGCAGGGCTAAGCTAGCTTACATGGTAGAAGCTGTGGAAACACTAAAAACGGTTGCATTACAGACATGCTGATTGAGATGTCCTCCCGGAAGAATGTGCTTCAAATACGTTCCAGATTGGATATGTTGAGCAGCCGGAGATTTTGTGTAGAATCACCGGTACTCATAAGGATTAAACACTATAGTGTAGTATGCAAAGAAAACCGAATGCTGAGTTTGAAACGCGCAATTCACTTACCATTCGAACTCGATGGAGCAAAAGAAGAGCCCCGTTCACATTCATTTCCATCTGCGTCCCTGAGAAACCTTTCCTCATTGACTTCAACTGCAATACACCGAAAGTCACCGGTTTGTTCAGGCAATTGGGAACCACCGAATGCAACGTATTCCAAAACCGAGGAACAATCTTCTACCGATGGCGGTTTTGTATTCACAGTCTGAGGAGCAATATCTCCAAGTTCTGTTTGGGTTGACAAGCTTTGGTCATCTGGAAGCAAATCAGCGGGCAGGAAGACCATATTCCTGACGGATTTTTTGGATTGGGGGACTTTAGCTACCGAGGATAGAGAGAAATTGAAAACAGCCAACAGTGAGAAGAAACAGTGTATCGAACGTGTCAAAACGAACAAATATTTGCTTGGGATCTGGTTAACAAAAAACCGAGGGGTGAAACACAGACATAAAACCACTTAATCACAATGAGGCTGAATCGTTGGCCGATTAATCGAGAGACTACTCATAGTTGTTGTACTCAAACTGTTCTATAAGAGGATAAACATCTGTTTCATCGTGATCATTCGTTTGACTGATTATATTTCCCACATACACTGGACAGTGGAAACCGAGTGCGATGCGGCGAAATGTCCCAAGATTTGAGATATTAGAATGCACAGTCTCACAACACACGTTTTGAACAGTTGTCCTCCTGTCCTGGCGCAACTACTCATGTGAATCCACACCACTGGACTCGAGTTTTGCACTTGTTAGAGCTCATCCAATGGCTGTGCCGGGGTTTGAACTCCGGTCACCTGACATGCGATGCGAACGCTTTTCCACTATTACACCAGCGCACGTTGAAGGCATCTGAATTCTGACGTCTGAACGTATTGACGTACAACCTTTGATGCAGGCTTTAAGCGCGCTGATGAACTAAGACGCTACACCGATTACACATGGTTCATAGCTGACAAAGAAGACCCGCAGAGTGAATAGTGATGAATAGTGAATAATTACGCCAGGACAGGAGAACGACTGTTCAAAACAAGAGTGATGTGAAACTGAACAATACACCTCCCGCGAAAACCCCCCCATTCGAATACCTTGATGCCAACCACAGTGTTACTGATTCCCCTAGACTGGATGATATTCATTTTGCACAGGGGATTGTGAAATTCCAACCGTATCCGATAGTTTCGAGTGGTTTTTGTCCATTAAAGAACTGTTTTGAGTCACATAATGTGCTCTCTCCTATTCAACAATGCACTCTGTCTCAAGCAGCACCAACAACCAACACCAGTTATAATATACTCCGGAAAGGTTGTGAACCTCACTGTACAGCCAGTATAAATCTACGGCCATCGAATGAGCTTCTGAACACGGTGGGCCACAGTGCCCGAACTTCTCAATCCAAACTAGTTCAAAACACTCCTGAATGTATCAAAAATTTGATTTTAAAGATTACTAAGTGAGCCACTTCACGGTTGAAAGATGACAAGTTGAAAGTGACGTCCAGAATTAAGTCTAAAACTGGGAAGGAATAACCACAAGAAATGCCAGATGCAGTTCGTATAACCGGAGTTTTGTACTAAACGTCCTCGAAGAGAGTACCAGCGCACAGAACTAGTTTAATGGAATAAATAAAGTCAACTGAAGCGCACGCCACAGAATGGGTGAAATTAAGCCTCTGCGTGGACTGCTTAAAGGCAACATACTACTCATCAAGTTGTTGAAAGCTCTTCGATAGCTCACGAAAGGTTTCGCCCTCCTTGGGGCTCCAAAGATGGCTGCATTCTCGGGGTTATTGTTAACCTTATGTTCTACTCGTAAACAAATTGCGCAGTTCGTAAAATGCCATGATTTGCATAATAATTTGATTGACAGAAAACACAGATGAATCCAAGAGACTACTTGACAAGCCTCATAGAAGGGTTAAACCGAACAGTTTTCAACAACCTTATGATTCGCGTTCTTTCGACAAATCACACACTAGGATACTTTGAATATCGTATTACATGGAACATTAGGCGATCCGTACATAGCACAGTCGAGAGATTCAACAGAAATTTAGTTGCATTCCGGTTAAAACCAAACGGGTGTGCAAATGCCTTTATTTTACGAGCCAAATTTGTTGGCTACAGCGGTTACCTGCGGAAGGAAGCATGAGGGTTGATGCTATGATAAAGAAACTACAGAAAAACGTCTAGCTTTAGTGACGTTATGGTCGGCTGATATATCCGACCGGTTGTGCTGTGGTAAACTTAGTTCTGAGAGTTGCAGTAAAGCCGTGTGTTCTCACTTATTGAAAAAAAACAATGCGAAATTTTCGTGTCAGTCAGGCTCCTCGTCCTGATCGGTCGTATGAGATATTGCATCACAAGTGTGGTGGTAAACTGTGGAGTTAAGACGTTAGGTTGAAGGCAAAATCTCACCAAAATCGGCGGTGTTCCTCGTGTGAGTCGTAGAGACCTTTGCGGATAGTCCGTCGGGATAACTCTGGGAAGTGGCGGGTTCTGGGTGTGAAAGTTTCGGACTGGTTTTATTTTCACTGTTTTTTCGGTCAGTTGCTATATCAGATGTTCCCTCTGGATCATGCTTCGTAATCGTATTGAGAAGGATGTACTTGACCTTGTCCGGGATGGCTGCATCGTAGTTCTCCAGAATCAGACGTTTGATTTCCATGCACCACAATTCTTTCACCGATATATTTACCGCCCGCAGAGTTCGTTGCGCTTTTGGACTTCCAAACGGAAGGATATGGAATGCGAGGGGATCTTTCGGAATGCACTCAATCAGCATAAGGTTGGTGCACTTTGAAGGACAGTGGTGAAGAGAACAAAAGTAGTGGTGGAGAGAACAAATTTACACCGAGATGAAACTGAATGTGTTCCAACCATTCTAGAATATATTACAGACCAAAATTACCACGGTAAAACTTATGTCAAGATACCGTTAAATTTTACACACAAGTGTTTATAGATCCAATCGTGATTGACGTAAAAACATTTCCCTACTTGGATGAGAATATCCTGCATAACATAGAAAGACAACAAATACTTTGGGACGTCAGTTGGAGTAACGGGCCGTTTGTTTCCCACTTCCGAAAAAACCAGATTAAAACGGGCTAGATGTGAGGAAAATCAGTTTCCCTTTCGACTTAAATTCGAGTAGGAGAGAGCTGTGATTGGAATAGATTCTTCGAAATCGTCTACGGGTATGAGTAAACTGACGTGGAAAGGTCGGGTGAAGTCAAACGTTTCAAAAAGGGATAAGACATGCAGAAAGCACCTCAGGTTGTTGCCAGTTCGGGGTGTTTACACGCAGCAAACTCGGGGATTTCCTGTGGGTTATGCGCGCGAAAATAAAGATCTACTTGTCCGGTGCCCAACTATCTGCTCAATTCAAATCTGAAAGCTAAAGATCCGGTCGTCCATCCTTCAGTGTTAGTCTGTTCCCTCGGAACAGACGACTCGGTGTCTGTCCCGGAGATTAGCTGAGCATTTATCGTCCTGCAGTCAGTTTGCAGAAGTTAAATGCATGGCCAGTGTAATTATGAATCACTCTACTGATGTGAACCACCAAGTCAAACTAGCTTAATCGTTCGGGGTGATTCATACTGTGCCGCCCAAAAGTTCGAAGGTCATCTGCCGATTACCATCGGGTAAGTCATTTTCGAAGAGTTTACAAGAGGTCCACTTGGTTGGGAATTTACAGCAACCGAAAATCAACTGGCTACCTTTAAGGGAGGAAGCTAGATATGACCAAATACACCCACTTGGATGTCAATTTATTTTCGACGGGAGACTCACCTGGAACCAAGCTGGATAGTTCGCTGATGATGTTTTTAAGCACCAGGCCAACTCAAGTTTCAGTTGGTACAATATTCGAGATACCACGACACATATACAGATGTAGTACACTACTCATAGGGTTGCTGAAAACTCTTTGACAGTCCATAACCGGTTTCGTCCCAAGAAGGGCGGATGCATATCTCTGGTTTGAACTTCCGACATCTGACGTGCGAGGCGAGCATGTTACTACTTCACCGGTGGACGCATCTGAATTTTCACGTCAGAACACGTGAACATATTAACGCTTGAGAGATGGGTCGAACGCCGATCCAGTAACATTACCGGTTGTATCGATCGACTGAATCACTTGTGACAATTTTTATATAGGTAGAGCCACGGTAGCATTGAAATTTGTCCGTGGATCAAACTCAGACACTGCTGATGAGCTCCAATAGGAACGAGTGCAGCGATTCCTGGCCTTTGGTGTACACCAACCAGAATAATTGCGCCAAGACAGGAGGACTATTGCTTAAATATGAACGCGCATTCTACAAACCCCGCAACCACCTACGACTGGTCTTTTAAGTCGTTATGTTTTTGGCAAAATACCACGTCGTAGAATTGTGTACAGGCCTATTGTGCCTGTAAAACTGTTTGCTTCACAAATTAGCAAGAGGGCTAACTCAGTTCCACGTATTAGTCCCACTGTATACAGATTTGGTTACATTTACCTCATCCAAACATTTGAACTCGTCTGATGTTTGGTGTGAATTTGCTATCGCTCATTCGATGCCCACTCAAATGTGTACGATCATATCCACACACCCCACTGGCGAGATGGCTCAGTGGTTAGAGCGCGAAATTACTGACCGGAAGGTTCGTAGTTCGAACCTGACCTACGTTTCTCGACCCCCCCTGTCTAGGCTTGGGCAACCTGGCAGTATCCCAGCCCTCCTGCTTCCTTCGGGTGGCATGGCAGCTCGACACCGAAAGGGTGTTACAGGTGAACAATATATTATTTACACACCCCACTTCAATACAGTTCAGTTGTGACGGTGAAACAGTGACCGATCGATTCACCTATGACTGATACCAACGTGAAGTTTTGACGTCACATTTTGTCAACAAGACAAACCTTCTGGCAATCGGGATTGATCTTCACAAGCAAAAAGTGTTGAACGCCAAAGGACGGATAATGTTTATCACAGGGTTGCGAAGTGTTTCTTTTAGGGGCACGTTTCTGTTTTCTGTCACTTTGAAGGATCAGTATTNAAGGTTCGTAGTTCGAACCTGACCTACGTTTCTCGACCCCCCCCCTGTCTAGGCTTGGGCAACCTGGCAGTATCCCAGCCCTCCTGCAGCAGCTCGACACCGAACGAAAGGGTGAGGTGAACAATATATTATTTACACACCCCACTTCAATACAGTTCAGTTGTGACGGTGAAACAGTGACCGATCGATTCACCTATGACTGATACCAACGTGAAGTTTTGACGTCACATTTTGTCAACAAGACAAACCTTCTGGCAATCGGGATTGATCTTCACAAGCAAAAAGTGTTGAACGCCAAAGGACGGATAATGTTTATCACAGGGTTGCGAAGTGTTTCTTTTAGGGGCACGTTTCTGTTTTCTGTCACTTTGAAGGATCAGTATTACCTGTGAAAATCTGTCGCATATTTCAAGCCCGTGTAAATTCGTGAGGTGTCCGTGTCGGTTATCCCTGAATCTGGGCTTCCTGAGTCAGGTCATCCGTTTCACAAACGCATCAATCAAATATTTTCCTTTCAAGTGAACATTATTAATGATCCTTCTTACGCAAATTCAACCATAAGAAAAAATAAATCTACTACTTGTTTAACGAATAATCTGTCTGATTTGCAGTAAAGCCACGAGCGCGAAATTTCTGGGACTGTTTATCTTACCGTAAAAATTTGACGTATTTCAACAGGCACCTCAGTGATACCATGAACACTGGATAACATCCAGCCAAGTGAGTTGTTTCCCGTTGACTCGTGGTCTGCTATTCCATCCTTCAATTGGTCGGGACGTCTGGATGTGACTGGCTGGGAATATTTACAAAGTACGATTGCGGAGTGAAAGAGCAAAACCAAGCGCCAGTCCTTTTTGCTTGCAACGCGGAATCGATCCATAAGTACCAATTCACCCCACTGGTCTGCCTCAAGGTGAATTTTTCTGAGATGCTGAATTATATCGTCCGATCGTTTCTTCTCGTTAATGTGATTTCCGACCTAGAACAAAATGGTGGGGATCAAATGAGTACTAATCGGCAAGAATATGATGACCTCAATGTTGAAGGTGGCATAATAAGAATGCGATTGTCTCCTGAGTGTTTCTGGGCATCATAAACCTAACTACTGTGCTATGGATACTCACGGATGTTTCCGACAGGAATGTACAACTTATGATAAAATGCACGGCATCACGCAGTGAAATTTGAACAAGTAGAGATGTCTTTCAGTTTTTATTTTAAATGAATACTGTTAGCAAAAAAAGGATAAAAAACGAATGGACGTCTTTGTTGTTATCTTCTCGAGCATGTATTTTATGAGCGCCCCACTGATGTGCTACACACACTAACTTAGAATGAGAAGAGAAAACACTATCTGATCGGAGTATAACAGTAATCTGCTAACTGCCAAACTCATTTTTGTCACAAGCGCAATTTCGATAAGATCGTGGTGTGCTGAACGCCTAACGCACAGTCTCCACTCATTTAAAAGAAACCATGTGAAGATTCTCTTGAATGTAACACGCGGCAGCTATTACGAGACCGTATAAGACACCCCACGTACCTTTTCCATTTTTTCTGCGGCTTCAAGAAATAGTGGTACGGCATCTTGAAGAGCTCGACGGACCTCGCCCGTGGATGTCATTTTCCCGCTCACCAATGGGTCTACTGTAGTCTGAATGTCATCGTCAGGTAGGAAATTCAACATAGTAAACGAATACTTCGAGCACGCCTGAAATGGCAAACATGTGCCCAGATAAGTTGATTGTACATGAGGTTGACAAAGAATAGAAGAATTTGGCCAAACCAACAAACAGGACTAGTGGAGGGATAAGTATAATGACTACCCTGACGAGAACGAACTAAAGTCGAACATGATGGAGTGATCCAATGCATCATTGAGAGGTGGCTTGAGATCGGTCCAAATCCTGTTGCATTACCATCTGAATGTAATTCAGGAGTAAGGCGTAACATGAAGTTCTCATGTTCCGCACTTCCCCTTTGAGTCCAGAAGTCTTGCAGCTTGTTCGAGGACAACTTGGTCCTCGAATTCGCTGGCTTCCTTGTTGGCTTCATTTGACATATAAGGACAGAATGGCTATATTAAAGTTGTGTCAGAACCCAATAATCACAAATTGTATGGAAAATGTTAGACAGATCATTAGACAATTCGGATGTAAACAGGTAAGACACTGTTCCGTCTAAAGAAAAGTAATTTTCCTGCCGACACCACATTTTTTGGCCGACAGGAGTACAATAACATCAAGAACCCCCAGCGTGGATGCAATTGCGAGCACTTCTGGGGCGGGGCCATTGGGGAGGAAAACCAGTTGGGTCTATCCTAGGGCCTGCGACTTCGCTTAGTCGGATGCCATAGTGAGCCCCGACTGAAACAAGGTAGAATTAGCGTCTATTCGAATGGGTGATTACTGAGTAGTGCTACAGTGCCATTAACCATCAACTACATATCAGCGTCGAGTGGCTTATATGAATTTTACCGATTAGTTTAAGGTAGATTGTTTTAGGTTTTCCGACAACTGAAAGATCCCTTGCCGGTTGAAAGGACTAGGGACTGTGTGTACAAAATTAACTGCAAAGATTACGCTAAGGTTTACATCGGACAAACGTCCAGGGAATAGCACACCACAATTGGTGAGCATAAAAGAAGGATAAACAAACCACCAAGGAATACAGAAGAATACCAAACACTGGTCAAAGACTCAGCGATGGCGGTACATGCCTCAGACACGGGACATAGAATAGATCTGGAGAATGTGGAAGTTCTGAGACGGGGACTGCGATTCACACCACAGCGGCTGGTAACCGAGGCGGTGGAAATTACCACGCTTCACAACGTGAATAGAATTGAGGGTGTGGAACTGGCGAGCGTATGGAAAGCGGTCTTAGATAAGCCGAGTCGGCACGTGACGGTGTGGTTGTCAATCCACGTAGAATCATTAGAAAAAAGGGAGTGGGTGTGGAAATCACAACCCGACCAAAGGTCACAGCATCTCACTTACACAACTATCTTCGCACTAGCTCATCCACACAGACGGACAGAAAGTTCAAACGACGTTCAAGAGGGACCATCAAATGAACCAAACCAGAAGAACTAGACCCTAGGCTGGACCCAAACACATGTAGGTTTCCCCACCGACCCAACACTTTTTCAACCACTCTAACACACTAATATCCCTCGGCCGACACCCAACAGAGATTTAGCTTGACTTAGCTGATTGGTTCTCCTTCCGCCTTAAATCTCGACCAGCCTCGGAACCTAGTCACTTGACCTGACGAACCTTTTGTGTCAAAAGCGAAACGTTGCCCAGCAAAAAATCTACCGATTGTTACCAAACTTTTTCGAAAACAACCTACGTCCAATTCATCAGCTGTGCAGGCCTGTCGACGATGTCAATTCTCCAAAAAGTAAAGTGACCGATTCTCTGTTTACTCATTTGACGAACGCATACCCTGAGACGTTTTTTCCTGGAATCACTGAGAGGTCTGGAATTTAGGTTTGTGAATATAATGCAAGCCTGTTTGTGTCCTCACTGTTATCCGAAGGAAATACATGTGTCGTATGATTCGAATAATCACAAACTGAGCAATCACAAACTGTCCAGTTCAGTTGATTCTCACAGCTCATACAGCCTCCGAAGAAGGATGGCTAGAATTAAGCAGAGCAGACTACCGTAGGCAATGAAGCATGCCTCTGATTCACAATCTAATGCAGAGGCACCAGGTCTGCCGATCTGCTACGTAGCAAGAACCCTCTTGTGGTGTTTTACTACCTATATAATTTTGGGGGAAATATCCAAAGAGGTTTCCCTATGAAATAAACGCCAGGGCTATTCTCAATAATGAAGGCGGAACATGGTACGATCAGTCTCCGAAATGCTCCGCCTGTGGTGAAAAGGACCAAGCAGAGACTGATTCGGTCGCAGCACTTAGAAATAATGTTGGTAGTGTGAGGAGATTTGGGATTTTTGTGGAGATTTCGTCTCGTCCTGTAAGTGAAGCCAATCTATGCTGAAAAGCCGAGAAGCACTGTACAGCTGTTTCATCCTTATTGGGAATCATCAGCATTGCGCATCTCACGAAATTCCGAAGAGTCTCGAACCCGCGACCTCCCGGCTAGTAGTTTGAACACTTAACCGTTCGGCCACGAGCGACTGATCCCAAATCTCCTCACACTACCAACAATATATAAGGAGTTCAGTGGAAGAATAAACTTCACCCGATGAGGGAAACTTCTATCCGAGAAGTCGTTGCTCGAGGAGCCAGTCAACACGTGTGACCGCGTGACGTGGATCCCGTGATTGAAGGATGCGCGGTGCTATATCCCGTCTGAGTGCGAGTTAATCACACTTCTGATCAGCCGCTCGTGGCCAACCGGTTAGGTGTTCAAACTACCAACCAGGGGTTCGAGACTTTCCGGAGTTTCGTGAGAAGCGCACTGCTGATGATTCCCGATAAGGATGAAACAGCTGTACAGTGCTTCTCAGTTTTTCAGCATAGATTGGCTCCACTTACAGGACGAAATCCCCACTTAGAAAGAATGTTTGAATCCAAGACACAGGCTCTGCTGGGGTCGACTTTTATTCCCATGTCCCCACAGCCACTTATACAACTCAAAATACGAGCTTGTTTAAGCAGGAGACGCGAAGCAATTTAAAGTCAGATTGATTAGAGTATCCAATTTTTTCGAACAAAGTCACCACACGATCTCAGTGAATCTCAGTGAAGTTAGGCGGATATCATGCCATGTTGATTTGGTGAGTAGGTGTATCCACTTGTGTCTTGGGGCATACAAGCTGTTTAGTTTACAAAAAAAAACTGCGGAAGTACTGGACTCGGTTTTCACTCCTACTACGGCTAAAAAGTGGTGAGTATCATTGACCTCGAAGATAGTTCAACTCCAGATATCGGGCATGCAAGACAAGGCGTAAAAAGCACTGCCATTCCTTCTTTCGATTGTGGCATTCGTACTGACGGTTTCTGCTCGTAATTCATATGCTACTGTTGAACGAACACTCACTTGTAAAATCATTCGATACTGAAGAATCCTCTGCACTGGTTTGAGTAAGTAAGTGCTCACCGGGAGCTTGTGTCCTAGGGACTGCTGACATTGCGTCAGGTGGTTCCATAGAACAGTTTGATTTCTTTCCGCGTGGTGCAGAATTTGCAATGCCCTGAAAAACAATGTTGCGTTTAAATGATAGACCAGGCAAACCATGATTTGGTTAGGGAAAATCCACAGGAACTCGGAGCAATCTGATGAAATCGGTTAGTGTTCACAGAGTGTCCCTGAATAAGTTGCACGAACCTGCCTAATTAGCTCCTCGAGCGACGAATTTTCATTCATTTCGTGAAATTTCTCTTCTAAACGGCAGTGTATATCTACATTTACCTATAAGTATGCCCAACCATTGGCTTATGAATCCCTGTAAGGATGAAGCAGATGTACAGGTGACGAAACAAAGGTAAACGAGAGTCTGAGATAATCAATCAAGATTTGTCTTGTAGGTAATGTCATTCTATACCAGAAAGGCGATAGAACCTGTAAAGCTATTTTATCCTTGCTGGAGATCGCCACCAGTGTGTATCTCACGGCCCCCTGTGGATATTCGAACCCACAGTCGTGCAGCTAATGTCCAGTCACAAATGGCTGGAGTGCAATGTGATTAGCTCACTGTTAAACACAACACCGCCCAATTACTGATTTCACATTACGTGGAGTGAACAACAAGAGCGTTTGAGCTGAAAAGGCGTATCGACTGTTTAAAAATTCGCCACAAGTACTGCACTTATTGGAAAAGGTTGCGCTCCACCTTGGGACTCTGAAATTTGCTTTTTGTTGCACCCACTTTAGGAGGAACATACAATTAGAGAAGACCAATTTTATCCGCCGAAAAAGAGGTCATTGAATTGCTAGTCCCGAAGTCGGGACCTATAGCTCGAACTGCGGCCAAGATAAGCACTTCTATTTAGACTTCTACGAGGAGATCATGAGTACTATGTATCGCAGTGGATCAAAAATTTATTCATCTGAACAGAATGACTGATATGGCCCATTAGTGAAAAGTAAACTCCTATTCCGCTTCCTTCTTTGCCCGATAAAGAGAATACCGGCTATTGTTACTTGAACTTTACTGAGTACGCAATCTTCGTATACGAAAAATGAGCTGGAATCAATCGGATACTTCCACTGCAGAGGAATGTGACTTACCTGGAATAGCTTGTACAAAAACTAACGTAAAGTGCAGAAAACTGATTTTCCAGATTGATGAATGTGCGAGCCAATTCCACCATGTTTGTAGCGTGCTTGTGTAGGTTGGCTGCTAGCATTCTGTGACGCGATTCATGGGAGCGAGAAACGATGAAGACAATAGGTCAGATATGCAGTTCCGATATGTTCACAGAATAACACAGTTTTTAGATGAGGCGTGCGCAAATTCATGAGAATCTGTTGCGTCCAAGGTGAGCAACGTGACCTATTTAACACCCTGTCGCGCTGGAATGTGTTTTCATCTACCTGTCTTCTGATAATTCGTGTGCGCAAATCTTATTGATTAAAGACAAAATGGAAGATGCGCATTTTTATCAAGCTACTGCTTTCTCAGATTGGTCTCGGAAATGTATGTGAAACATCTGGCATCTGTTAGCCTAGGTGGATGTAGTTGGCAAAGTGTTGTCCTCACTTGGACGCGATTCGTATTCAACTAACCTCGAATGTCCATAACATCGCATCCACCAACATGCCGACTGTCTAAACAATCAACTTCTGGGTGTCGATCCTCGGTGCTTAGTCTTCTCGCCGCCAAACTGCGATGGCTTTTAATCAGATATACTCCCGTAGGGCAGTATCAATAACCGCCGACACACTACTCCCCCTAGATTATCTAACTATTGTAGCGGCTGGTTCCTTGGAGAAGAGATATCTTTTAAAACTTTACCACGCGGCTTCGACAGGGCAAGCAGATAAATATACTTTACTACCTTTAAAAAACTTTTCCTCGATTCAAATCCGTGAACAGAGTATTTGGCTTGCCTAAAGTCCTACGGGGATTGGTGGTCGCTGACTTGTTCGCTGAGCTGGGCAATTTGATTGCAAACGTTTCATCACCAGTCGAGGTGACATCATCAGTGCATTAGTGGGGAGCATACTGGTTCGTAGCGGTGGGTTCCACGGGGGATTCCACGTATGAGAGGAAATTCGCTAGTCGGAAGTTCGGGATGGTTGTCAGTCTGTCCCATGTCGGTAGTTCGAAATCCAGAACGGCTATGGGTACGCACCAGTGATGAGCTCTGATCAAATCGGAACTCAGGTCCAGTAAATGTCTCTCTTTGGTGTGGACTTACCAGAACAACTGTAGCATGAGACTGTCTAAACTAGGGTTAGGTGAACAGAAATAGCTGCTATGGAACTAGTTGACTGAAAGTCAGACCCGCTATCTACAGTCGGTGCGTCAGGACAACAGGGTTGTATATTTTAGCGAGAATTGCATGCATCCTAATTGAACGACTACCAATAAGCGACCGACCGACAAACGCAGCCAAGACCTTCGAGTCTTAGTTACCAGAACATCGGACTAAGCACAAACAACGTTGAAGCGCGGTAAAACAACTGTTCAGATGTCATTGAGGTAAATACAATTTCGCATTCCATATAGATTTGAACGGTGAATTCACGATCAATTTTTTTCCGTATACGATGCGCAAGTGACTTTAGTTTGGCTCGATCATACAGAAACTCAGGGATAAGAGATATAATCGGGGGAGGGACATTTGTTAGAACGCAAGAAAAAAACAGCCCAACAAATGGCATTTCAAGTGACGGACTACCAACCTCGGACAGAAAACAAAGGCCTGATCTCCAGAATGGTTCAACCGGGTTATGATCGGCGGACGGTGTAGGATTTGCGCAGCAATTTTCACACAAGTGCGTAGTGATTTACCAATAGTCCTAGTTAGATTACATAACAAACCTAAACGTAGTACTTGAATGGCACCTTCGGAATCTGTTATTTTTTGTGGTAAAATCCTCTCGGGGCTGTTGACTCAAGGAGCGCGTTAGACAGAAAACCACAATGGTTTGCAAAAGTTTGTATATCAGGTATAAATGTTGTGTTTTTATGCAACTTACAACAAGATTAACGTAGCCATCAGCCTGGTCGAACGGGGGATCTCTTAGCCTTGTTTTAGTAAGCTGGCAGGATACAAACCTGTTGGTCATCGGAAGACCGCACTTGGTTGTCCGTTGCTACTTCGAATATCACCACTGAGGAAGCTCCTGTCGTGATGCCGATCTATGCTTGAAATGACATTCAGCTGGTATTGCGGCTCGGTTCCCTACGGGTATTGTTGTTATCTGATAACAGATGTTGGTATCATCTGGATGACGGGACTACCTTGTCACAATGCGTTCAAGCAATACTGGCCTTGCAATATCAGGGCTATGTCCTCTGCACATTGCGCATCTTTCATCAGGATATCTGTCCCAACTACTGAACAAGTCAATCTTTCAGTGAGGCGCAGAGTAGTATGACTAATGCTTGACCCTAGAAGATAGTGGAGCAAACCTTGTCATTCAGAGGTACTAAAAATAAGAATCGGAACACGCACTGGACACGGGGCACAAAATAGACTTAGAAAATGTTGAGGTTTTGAGGCGAGGACTACGGTTCACCTCACAGAGACTAATAGCAGAGGCGGTAGAAATCGCCAAGCATCCCAGCATTAACAGAATGGAAGGCGTGGAACTGGCAAGCGTGTGGAGAACGGTCTTGGGTCACTCGAGCTAACACGTGTTGGTGTGCGATCAGCAGAGGGAAGAGTGGTCATCAGCTGAACTCCACTTGACCTTACGCACCTCCCTTCCCCCCAACTAAATTGTCCTAACATCCACGTCCCCCGATGATCAAGGATCTACCAGTGGCACCCGGGGTGAATCATCAAGTGAAACACCCTGAAGTGGAAGATTAAGGAACGAAAAGCGATCGGAAGTAATTTGAAACTCCTCCAACCCAGCAATTCAAGAATTTGACACCCACGCTAGCCGACAAGAGCTGTTAATTGACACTCAACACTGATCTAGTGTGAAGAGGACTTACTGATTGGTTCCCCGTCTGTCTTATAACCTGGCCAATTTGGTGACCTGTTCACTTGGCCTGATGAAGCTTTTGTGTCAAAAGTGGAACGCTGCCCAAATAAAAACTACCGATTGTTTACCAGGCTCTTCTGGAAAGGGTCAGAATGAGTTTATGTCCAGGGTGCTCCACAATAACGCACTGATGATGTCACCTCGATTGGTGATGGAACGTTTGCAATCAAATTGCCCAGCTCAGCGAACAAGCCAACGACCACCGTCCAGGGTGCTCTTTGATTAGGGACCTTTTGAGTATCTTTCCAAACACCAGAGGTTAGTCACACGTCCGTTTGACACGCCGGCGACTGAATTTACAAGGAATGACCCAAATGGTGCTTCGCATTGCCAAGTGGAGAAGTTTACTCCGCATGTGGTAAATATGCAGACTGCATTTTCCTTCAGGTCCGTATCGTTGTGCAGTGCAAAGTGCCATATTTCTGTCGCAAGTTTTGTTGACTCATAGCCGGGGGTGACAGTTTGTCTTATTCGACGTGACACAAGAGTCATTCGCATCGGTCTTAATGTCTTCCTCCATTCTAGGTTGTTACTATATCCTTTTATGAATGTATAAAGTTGAACCGAGTAGTTCTATCTCAGCCAGAAGCGCGATTACTCAGTGGTTGGAGCGCGGATATATTGACCGGAATGTCCGTGGTTCGAATCCGACCTCGTTATCTCGACTCCTCTTGTCTAGGCTTGGGGAACCTGGCAGTATTTCACTCCTCGTGCTTCCTACGGGTGGTATGGCTGCTATAGTAACAGACTCATCAACCATTTTTTCAGGCCCAGTGTGTTTGTGAGGTAATCCACCCCTGCGAAGTGCTCTACGCCAAAAGCCTCATAGTAGCTAGGGCCAAACTCAAATGATTGGAACCAAGCAATAACAGCAAAAGGAAGGACAGTCATTACTCAGTCGTCCACTTGAGTCAATGTATCATCGACAACAGATGGGGAACCTGGATTTCACTCCTCGTGCTTCCTACGGGTGGTATGGCTGCTATAGTAACAGACTCATCAACCATTTTTTCAGGCCCAGTGTGTTTGTGAGGTAATCCACCCCTGCGAAGTGCTCTACGCCAAAAGCCTCATAGTAGCTAGGGCCAAACTCAAATGATTGGAACCAAGCAATAACAGCAAAAGGAAGGACAGTCATTACTCAGTCGTCCACTTGAGTCAATGTATCATCGACAACAGATGATGCCGTTTCACAGTATCTGAATCCCATTATTATTTGGCTGAATTTCGCCGCTTCGCTTTCCAGGAACAGGTATGGACTTGATATTATCAGGGCTGTTATCCGTACGACCACTGTGGTTGTCAAGAGGTATTGAGATGCCCTCATCTTTTGAAGTTAAGCTCTGACTATCGTTGTTCTGACAGAAGCTATTTCGACCGCACAGAAGTAATGCCCAACTTGAAATTCCGATGAGTGATGATAGAAGTTTGCTGCCAGTGACATAATGTGAAATTATCTAGGAAAAATTACACAAATACACCCAACACAGAGCTTCTCCGTGATATCGCTCAAAAAAGAAGATTTCTTCGTCCATACTGTAGACGTCACGAAGTAGAACGTGGTGAACAATCGATTACAGTTGCTTTTTCCAGCAGTGGATATTGAACTTACTTCCCCGCATAGCATATGATAGTGGGGGTTGTATGGGGATTTGAACTTCCGGTTTTCATTTTTCAGTTTAACGATTCGTTTTTCTGCTGACGCAGTTCTAAGCCAGAATCTACGTACTCTTGCCTGCCTTGCAGCATCTTATGCCTTCATTTGAACAGTCTCGACTTTGCCATTCACATAGAGGACAGAATGCGGTACCGATTGAAGGTCTCACATTTATTAGTGCACGTGGTGACTGATTTCGTTTGGACCTGAGACGACTTCTCATTGGAATTTGTCCGGTGTCTGCCATTTCAAGAACTGCCGGTGCAATGGCGCTGATGAAACAATTGTCCACAATTTTCGGCTGTTAAGGGTCTGGTGTGTCAGGGACGGTCCGCGATTGAACGAATCGGTTGGGGTAACTTGTTTCGCACCGTGATCGGGAAACAAAGGTGCGCCACTAAGTCTGCAACACATGCGCTTTCTGAACGAAGGGTGGCCTCAGGAGAAAAATAAGCTATTTACAGATGTGGTGGCCCTTCAGTGGAGTTAAACGAGATACCCCTAAGACGAATGGGAGCTTCAGTGGTAACCGCTTATTGAATTCAACAACTCAGCGTGCTCCAGCCTGTATAGTTGCCACCTGGTGACCTCTTAACCGTACCAAGGTCACTATTCATTTGTGCCTAGGGACCGGTTTTAAAACTAGACAAAAGATCTTTGCTCACAAGTGAAACGTGACCAGAAGTGAATCGAGTGGACTCTGCTACTTTAACATGAGTGCTTGTTTACCAGGCCAGTGACTCACACGGTGGCAATCAGGGTCAAATGAGCTTTAGAGTAATACACTACTCATAAGGTTGCTGACAACCCTTCTATTAGGCTCGTCAGATAGACGCAATCCCCAAGTTCCCGTCAACCTTATGCTCTACTTGAGCCCAGATTGGTGAAAAACGCTCATCAGAAAACTTAAGAGTGGACAGAATTTTCGGAGACGGGGGATGTCACTCGTCACAACCTCCACGGTAGGTACTTTTACATTGCTGATACTGTTGGGAATGCTAGGTTCCCGATGGACCTGTGCAGACACTGGAACCATCAACATTCTGAACTAAACCAGTGACATTGTTCGATCGATTTGGTCGGTTTAAAAAAACCTGTGACAGAGCAGAAAGACGCTCTAGTCCCCCTGAGTTAACCCACGAAACCGGTCCAAATTCTGGTTCCTCGACTGGTCCTGTCTAGGCTTCGGCAACCGAACAGCCCTTGTGTTTCTTCCGAGTTAGACGACAATTCTGCAACGAGAGGACAACACAGCTGAAAGATTATTATGTCTACACGCATGCTATACACCGAACGGACTGCTTAAATAATCACATCAGTCGAAAAATCTAGGCAGAATAATTTTTTTCTCACAAACCCAACGTACTTAAGTTCAACTGGTGTAACCTACCTCGGATATAAAGCGGAAAATCCTTGGATATGTCCTTAACTTTAAGAAAAGAAAAGCCCACACAACCTGAATTACTTGTTTCTCTGAACCATATTTGAACGGTTCTGGTAATCTGATGTCACAGTTCTACTCATGAAAGTAGAGAACACCTCACCAAATATACTCGGTTTGATTCTCACCAGAGGCTCACCTAAATCCCAGCTAAATCACTCGTATACGATATTCTTCAACTGAATAAGCCGCACAAAGATAATTTTATGCTTCAGAATTTCATAAACGAGAGATCCAGCTGAGATGCAGGCGACTTACCTGTAAGGGACGCGTTGGCATGTGGATTTCGTGCAATTTGGGCTCAAGTAGAACGGAAACTAGGATACTACGCCTATCTGAGGAGCTCCAGGAATGACGGAACCGGTTGTAGGCTATCGAAGCGCTTTCAGCAACCTTGGGAGTAGTTTCTCGTTAAAATAAACGCGTTTCATGCTTAATTATTATATTCATTAGATCGGTGACACCAACTAAGCTGTACCGCAGGAATCTGGGAAGCTGTTCGAATGCACTTTTGAATGTTTTTTTTTCAAGTCACATAATATACAGATTTACCGGGTAGATCGGGTCGATGTAAGTGAAGATTTTTATGGTATCGTTCAAAACCAACAACTCTACCTGACAGACAGTAACGGGGGGCGCAGAGTCCGATCTAAGAACATGAAACTTATAGTCAAGAAGTGCAGCGTTTTATATGGTGGATAAGGTCTTAGTGAACCGAATGGGGTAGATGGGTTGGCCATCTACGTGCTACAGTGTAGGGCGTTTAGGACACATGGGGGCTAAAAATATGTGCCATGACACAGATGTGGCTGCATACTGGTGTAACCGTGATGCTACTGAAGTGGGGCATGCGAGTAGTATGTTTCCTCGTAACTCTGCTTTGCGTCTCTTGAAAAGTGAGATCTAGTGCGGAATGTGTGGAGTCGCTCTGCAGCATGTCCTCACAAGTGAGTGACAGTCAATGAATATCCAGGAAAGTTCAGGAAGACGCGTTCAAAGAGAAGGTGGATACTCAGTTTTTGTAAACAAGATGCATATGAGAGTTTTGCTTCCCTGTCCAATAGTCTATAAGTGTTCATTTGGTGTTTTCTAATAGACAGCTCCACGGAGACGGTCTTCTTCCTTTCACTGATAGGTATTCTTTTGTTAAGAGATGCAATTCGTCGGGGAATACATATACATATATAAAGTGCAGGTACACGGAAATGACCTAGTAAAACTACTTAAAAAAACAAACAGCAGCTCACTGGTGAAATTGCCGTAATCCAGGAATTCGACCAAAAATCGTTTCCACTTGATCTGCATCCAATTCCGGTATTTTCCGCAGATTATTCAGATAGCCCTGTCGGAGATGAAGAGGGAAAATCAATGGATTGGTTTACGTGTATTCGAGGTTTTGGTAGCAGGCGGTTCAAAAATTTATTTCATCAGCCATTACGCACCAGCCAATAAATCGCGGGCACACATTGCTCAGAGGATTTTCAGACTTCTCTTGGGTTTAAAAAAAGCACTCACAATTAATCCCATCCTACCTGCCTAACTATACAAAAGTGGTCAGTTCGTATTTCTACATTTTAAGTTGCTAAATTTTGGACAAATGATCCATCACAAACAATGAGCTGTGGAATTCGGGTTTTGGTGGCAGCTTTGGGGGGTCGTAATTAGTCCGACGTCAAAATTTTGGAAGAAAGTGCCGAATATATCCAAGGTTAAAGGTTCTTTAAACAGAGGATTATAGGTGCTTGACATAATCGAAGCGTGAAATTTAGGGTGTCTTTTAGAAGGCCAGAATAACACTACTTATTTCGAGAAAAACACTCATCTGCAAATCAATTTGGCTTTCACGAGAGACTCAACTGAATCTCCCGTTTATGACATTCTACAACTGAATGGGTTCAAATAGAACATAGGGTTGACGGAAACTCGGGGACTGCATCTATCTGATGAGCCCCAAGAAGGGCGAAACCGGTCGTGGGCTGTCCAAGAATTTTCAGCAACCTTGTGAGTAGTTTCCTTCATGAAAACACGACTCACTGTTTTTAAGTACGGATAAAAGTGTAGTCAGAGCGTAGGTGGTAGACAGCTTTCGCCAGTTTCGGGCAAAGTAATTCGATCAAAATTTAAGACGTCCTGGAGTGGTAAGTCACTTCAGTTCGTTGATTCGGGTCGTTCGCTTACCTCGCTGCTTTATGCATACCGTACTATCGTGTGTTGAGTTGAATTTTATTTTGTTATGTTACAATAATTTGCCATTTTTGCGGATTTCGCGTACTTAACTGTAAACTATCCGTCTTGACGCGGTGTTAAAGCTGACTTCCGGTGACCATTGTTACGCAGGCAAAGCGAATGATGGCTCGCACTAACTTGCCATCCGTCTAACGAAGGCTGCGCAATGACCGGTAGGCGTCACCAGGCCAAAGGGTAATCAACATCAGCAACACAAGTCTACATTGACATTTCACTGCCGTACAGCCACAAAATCTACTTAGTTATGTTTTACGACTTAAAGCAAAGAACCAGAGAAGAGTGAACGAGGGCGGGACGTGATGCCACTCTACCGCGGGTATTCTGAAGTGTCTACTCCCCCGAGCGCTCAAGCAGATGGTCTGGAAAGGAGCTGACATTGGTTCACCACTATTTTTTTCAATGTGTCCAGCGAAGCCCACGGAGCATTGCACGTACCGCATTTTCGAAGTTCAAGTACACCACCAACACCCAAACTTTTCGTAATCGCTTTCGCACACTTCGACAAAACCATCAAGTGGCTTGCGCAATTATGAAAGGAGCACGGAGATTTCTTCGGTAGGTGACTTTTTGGCATGCGGGGCCTGTGGTTGAACCACCGTAGATAATGGATCCGCGACTGAAGTATCTATCAAGTGTCTGGCAATCATACAACAGCGCAACCGTCGCTGTGGCCTCTGAAATCCAGTGATACATCTTTTTGGCGCCACAAATGAAGCAACTTGGAAAACGTAAATCGACTCCATCAGACACACTTCAGTCAGAGATAATTCGACTATCGAGGTATGTAAAAGTCTACGTAACCTCCATTGCCCCTCCGTGAATTACAGGAAACGTGCAGAGACTGCACAGTCTGGAGCATAGCTTTGCAGGTTCGAGGAACATGCCGAGAGAAGGTTTGATGTTAATTAGTACACCTGACCACGCCTTATCTTCGTCTTCAGCTTCGTCTCCGTCAGCGGTGTATTCCAGACCCACAAGGTTCTTGCTAACAACGATTTGAGCACAGGGTTCTTGAAGACGCTCCAGCGGCCGTCTCATTATCTATTCGATGATGTGCTAATATGGGGTCAAACTGACACCTCTGTGTTTACTACATTCAGATAAAGTGATGAAGATGGGCACTAGTTAGGACTGCTCAAACTGTCTAGGATGACGTGTTTCTCTCAGAAGACATTGGTGGGCTAGATAGGCACTAATTGATGCATTCATCTACGTTCTTGTACAGGGCAGGTGGAAAGTTGTCGGAACCGGGAGCCCGACAAATCTTGAGTACGGCCACTTCTGAAGCCGACAGGGTCTCCACATTTACAGTGCGCCTTCTTATCAAAGGCCAACAGTCCGGGTTGGAAGTAGCATTTGGCTTCGAAAACTTCGGTCCAATGGTGCAAGCGTGCTTTTCCGCGGGATATTGAGATCGGTTTTTGTTCCTGATTGTCTCACTTACAAGTGGCTTCCGAAAAATTTCCAAAGAAAGCAAGTGGAACGTGCGCGCTTTTGTAGCATTTCTCGCCTCTTCCTCTCCTTCGACCTTTTGGACCCACCGAGTTTCTCGCTGTGTTGGTATGCTTAGTTTTACCGGGGGCGAGACGGCCCAAGTGGTTAGAGCCCGAATTTACTGACCGGAAGGTCCGTGGTTCGAATCCGACCTCCGCCACTCGACTTCCCCTGTCTAGGCTTGGGCAACCTGGCAGTATCCCAGCCCTCGTGCCTCCAGCTGAACGCTTTCTTTTCTTTCTTAGTTTTACCTGTCATCAAGCCCACCCTGTTTTGGGTTGCGGCCGATGAGGTCTATCGCCTGGAGTCCGGAAAACCTACGGTTTCAACGGAGAGACCGACTGGGTTGTAGTGAGGGGAGGGTTACGATGTCACGTACAGCTTTGGGTGTCTCGCTAGAGTGATGGATCGGATCAGCAAACAGGCATTAGAGGAGTAGGTTCACGAGCTTTTCAACGGCCAAGCTGTATGCGCATTATTTTGCGTGGGCCAGAAAATAGCAATGAGAAGCGGCAGCAAACAACTGCACGGTTGGAGTTCTCGCATTTATCCCAGAAGGAGCTCCAGTAACTAATGGTATCGTGGTGTAGTTGGATTCACGGCTGTTTTGTTAGTCGGCACTAAGCCGTCAAACGATTCCCGCTCTTTGGAAAACTAGTACTACACTGGAGTAGTAAGTAGCAAGATGTTCCCGCTGTTCATTATTTTCGTGTCCAATATGAGATGACCATTCGACTGAACCTCGACAGCTGTAAGCCTACGTACGTGAAAATTCGCGTCATCAACGACCCACTTTAGAAAAAAGCGCCCAACACCTCAGGAAAAATGCATTCTGCAGATTCAGGGTCTATCGTGGCGTAAGCCGATGGACTCCTCTTAGAAGCATCTCACTTTTATTAGCAAACGAACCACGTGACGAAGACTACCAACGAGCATATAACCAAGAAGACACGTCTCCGTTCGGTGGTTCAAAGTATTACTCACACAGGACACATTTTTGCAGCGGCCTCCGCGTCACCACTTATGTGAAGCCGGGAAGCGAGCAGGAGAACAGTCGGTTGAGTTACAGTACTTGTGTCCCGGATCCCTGTTTCTGACAAACAGCAGAGAAAATCTAGTATACGAGCAAGAGCCAGTGTTTATCCCGAGTGCTTCAGTTTTCTAGGATCGTAAAGTGTTCCCTAGGGAGACGGACGCGGAGAAGTTGTAGCTGAACGCTGTGCGAGACAAACATTGCGGTCAGAATGCTCATACTGGGGTGGAATGGTGGAGAATGTGTGAGAGTGTAAGAGGAGAGACGTCGCCACTGTTTACTTGTCCTTACGTGATTCACCACCTGTGAACTATCCTCTGGGCTTACCGATGGCTTTAAACGTGTCCCCTTCTGGCAACTCTGCAGTACCCTTCCTCTGGGTTTACATCGGGTACATTTGGCTGTAGATGCGGTAAAGATGAATCACATCTGGCATTAGCCGGTGTGTGTGTGGGTGTTCACTGCCATATTTAGCCTGCAGAAACGGATGCCAGTAAACCACTGTCAAGACACTTCACCATGACGTTTATTATAAACTGGAAAATAGAAGTAAATAAACGTTCATGAATATGTGTTACAGAATTCAAGCCGTGAAAGCCAGTCCCATGTTGCCAAAGGAGTGGGAACAAAAACGGTATGATTATTTCTTTGGAGAAATGGTTTGATCCGTCTGGTACGGTTTCCATTGAAAGAGCTTCACACACTCCAAGGAACGGTCGACTTCTCGATAGTGTGTTTTCCACCTTTCACAGTTGTGTTATTTCCCTCAAATTATTGATTACGGTGCTCGCCGTTTTCACCCTAAATGGGACTGCAAGCTTAGTTTACGGAATTCATCACGCGCTTGCGTTAGGGTTTAACCAGCTCAGGGTGAAAAGGATGTCTATCGTGACAGGTTCTTGGAACGACTTGACCTCTCACTGACTGGGTGACATGGGTATATATACTATGGGTGATTTTTGACATATCTGAATGAATGAAAAGCAAAAAGGGCTAGAGACTAACACAGCAGACCTCAGTATCATCAATACTTACCACAGTTGTTACCACTTTCTGACATCGAAACTCCTAGGAAGGCTGACGGATACTTACTCTACAGTCGGGATTCATGAATGCTCCCTCTGCTTAACTGGTTTTCTCTTTAGAGCATGAGAAACACTCTAATTTGCTTGTAAGATCAAGGAATTTCAAAAAAATGCTCTAGGCATATCTATTTGTGAATCACTCATTATGTCGGAAAAACTGAGGTATTGTAAAAGTTTCTACAAGACAAAATCTTGGAAACTGAATGAATCGTGTCCCATGCAATATTAGCTGAACAAAGGGGCATATCTACCACCGCCTTCGTAGAATTCGTAGTACACCGAGTAATTCTAAAATTTAAACAAAAGCTAAGGAGATTTTTGGGAAGCATATGTAGATGAAGGGCATCAAAAACCACGGAAGGCTTGTTGGATACTCTTTCGAATCAAACTTTCCTAAAAAAAACCCAGTTAGGCTTTTGTTGACTCCAAATATTGGAAGAGGCTTAAAGCAGAGTTTTCGGTTCAAGGATTGAAAGTGCGCAACGGGTCACAAGGTTGTCCTGTATGGATTTAGCCTTCCGATTCATATGTAGACAACCATCTGAAACGTTTGGCACGTTCATTCCGCTATCGACCAGTTGAGCACACAGTAACTTTACTTCCAATCCTTCCAATTTAGTGCATTTAGTTGCCTTTGGAGAAAAAACTCCACGCTATGTGTGGTGGTGCATACTGAGTGACCTTGAACTCCTGTGCGAGTGGTGTGCGTGTGAGTAGTCTAAGAGTGGCTCATAGAAGTAACTCGCTATCAACGTACTAACCGCCAACATCGTAATTTCTGTTTCTAACCACATCTCAAAATGTCTCCCATGAAATCTCAAACAGCCTGATCACACTGGGATAGTACACTAGAGGTATTGAATTAAGCAGTCATGAGATTCTCACTTGTTCCAGATCTCGTAAGTGTTGAACATAGGAGTCCTCCGTTTCAATCAATTCGACGACAGAACAGCGCAAACGCCGAGATGATAGATCAGGCGTGACCGGTGCATCGGGTATCTGTGTGACATTTTCTTCCGAACTGGCTCGAGCTTTCGATGACTCGTTAAACCTCACAACGTGTGACTGCATTCGTACTGAACTGAGTGGTAATTTCACTTCAACTGGTGGCCAAGGTTTCACCTCATTCGCGTGAATTGCTGTCATTCGCAATCAATGAGGACGTCGAGGCTGTAATGAAGAAAAATACGTAAGTGAAAGTACGTGTACAACTGTAGGTCAGTAATGTGATAGATATATCATGTGAAAATCAGCTGATTGGTGTGGTTGGACGGACAACCATTTACTCGGGTCGACCTGTCTGTATGTATCTAACAGAAGTATCAAAAAAAAACGGAACGCAAAATGCTATGCACAGTTACTGACGGCGCCTATCACAATAATGCCGTAATATCCTGCAGGATGTTTTGCATGCATACAGGTATTTCAACCTTCCTGGGTAGAATAACTGACATCACATTTACTCGGCTACGTTGGCTGAGCAAAGATTGGCAGGTGATCTGTAATCAAACGACAATGTTAGTGTGGAGCTGACCATAGTTATTTAACTGCAGTTGTACAAAGTAGTTTGCAAAGTGCAGTGCATAAACAGTGTCAATGTGATCACACTCAGTTTATTTCTCTCAGCACCGTACAAACGAGGTACATTTGTGAGGGAGCGACTCTTCTCGGATTCATACTTCGTTCGGAATTGATTACTTGCAGCTGGATCTTGACTGACCTCCGAACAGTTCCTTGGGATTTTAATGGTTTCGTATTCTAAACACCAATTGTTTTCCTACAGTAACTTCGGCATAGGCACACTAACATACAGAATCTTCAATTGCTGACAAAAAGGCGAATGTCGTGCGCGATAACACATTAATACCGAGTGGACCCCATCCAATAAAGATCAAGTGACTCGGGGTTCGCTGGTTCATGTACCTGTGGACGTGAATAATCATACTGATATTAACATTTTCCTGCTTCGTTCTGCCCAGCAAGTTACACGTTGAAAGACTCGGAGAACATGTCAACGATCAGCCACGGTTTGGTCGGAATGCAGACTTGGTTCGCAGGATTCCATCAATTTCCCATCCGAATTTCCATGCAAGGCGCCAGTTGGTATATAGGGAGGAAAGTGGGGTGCCAGCACACACCAAGACGTGTTGCTGGAGATGACTCAGATATGGGGCGAGTTCCTACTGCGATAGAAACCACTTTTTGGACAGTATACAATAAGCGCCGCGGAAAATAACTGACGTGCGTCACGACCAAAGTGACATGTATGTCATTTTGTTGGGTGGATAACGGACCACATGTTCAGCTCGCTTGAAGAGGATTTCAGTCATCTACGTTGACTTGTCCAAAGTCTTTTCGTTCTTGCAGAGATAGTGTAATACTAGCGAAAAAGTTGAAATTCCTGTAACGTCAAAAACGACATGTGTTGAGCTCTGATGGGGCGAGATCTGCAACAGTTGTTCATTCAAAATTCACTAGCAATGTATTGATACCGAAGCGAAATCGTAATTAAAGCGTGATTTCATAGTGTTGAGTTTGAGCCGACTAACACTGTCCTGTGACAGAACATTTGATGAGTATGCAGACGCTTCAGAAATCGAAACAATTAATAAGAGAACAACATATTTCGTCCAACATAACCCACTCTCGTTGGACAGTCATATGACGATCCACTTTAGGTTCACTAAATAATTTAAATCAGAAGTGCGGCAGAGCTGCGAGAGGGCCGTTTCAGAACTAATCATCATCCATACCACCTTACCCAAGACCTCAACACCTAGGTTATTTCGGATCAGAAAGAGTTTCCGACCGTAAAATGAGGTCATTCTTCTGAATCCAGAGTCACCTGACGATGATAGGGGGTAGCCTGCATCTTCCATGGCCTCATCAGTGCAACAAGGCATAAAATGCATCAGAATCGACGACGTCAGCATAGTGAACTTCAAAGCCACGGATAATCCTTTAAGAACTTTCATGTTGAATTCGGTGACGCTTACTTCCGACGGAGCTAGCGTAAGTTATTGCACGCATCCTCGATCCCAGGCGTCACACCTCCGTTTCATTGAGAAATAGTGTGTTCTAGGATTGTCCCTGCACGTTTTTGAATGTATTCTAGCCACACTATTGCTTTTGATCCATTTTTCTTACTTTATCGTGTTCTTTTGCAAAATTTTCACCAATACTTCTTAATAACTTACATAAATTTGGCCTCCATTCATCGAGAATAAAGCACGTCTAACCTAACGCCACTAGTCTAACCAGATTCTGGTGAACAATACAAGGGAAAAATTGGAACGCGGGATCATCTGAAATGTGGACTGTAGGGAACAGGCGCTAGTACATTTCTTTAGAGGAGATGTTTCGCAGACTCTGAAATTCAATCTTTTGTTCCAGCGAACTGGCCTTCAAGGACGTACAAGAAATAATCAAATTCGAGCAATGTGGAATACCTAACGTATTCTGAGAGCCTCAAACTACGCAGTGCACGAAACTACAAAACGAAAAGGGCGCGGAATGAAGAAGAATCAACTGACTGCGATTGCAGGCACTATTAGGCATAAAAACACGTAAAACCTCAGCTCATAGTGATTTCCGTTCAATTGTTGCGTAACCATATGAAAGTTCAAATAATCGCCCTAGAATTATAACTGAAACCTCAAGAACGAAAGCAACAACTGGCACAAAGCATCTACTCAACATAATCGATGAGAAATGTCTAGAAACGCAGTTGCTTAAAGAGCAGGTGTAAAAATCTGTAAAACTTAGTTTGACATGGCTGGGGTCAATAGATCGTGGCAAATTTTAAATAAGAAAGTGGGATCTGTCGGATGTACCGAGAGGAAAGACTGATCCTCAACAAGGCGACGGTCTAAACAATTGGGAAGGGAAAACCAGCATACAGTGAAGTGGTGTACTATACTATTCTACATTTTACTACATTATGTCGTAGTATATTACGTCACATTATTATGCAGAGCACAATGCTCCATCTACCCTACCATACTACACGATTTCAGACTCGTTCGGCTTAGCACCCTTCCGGTTCCTAACTGCCATGTTATCTGAAGGAAGCACAAGGGCTGGGATACTGCCAGGTTGCCGAAACCTAGAAAATGGAAGGCGAGAGGCAGAGGTCGGGTTCGAACCACGGATCTTCTGGTCAGTAGATTCGCGCTCTAACCACTTGAGCCATCTCACGCCTTAATATAATCATCATCTAATTCAAACTACTTTAAATTACGACCACTTGCGTCAGATCGAAATTTCAGCCATTAATACGAAGGTCTGCTGCTCACAGTGGACAGACTAACAAAAGCTAAGAGTAAGAGAGCGTCACCATAATATAACATCATTTCTGTGTACTATGGCTGTATGGCTCAGAATTAAGCGCTTTGGTCCTGTTTTGAGAGTATCGAATTGGTGCTTGCTCTAAGTTTTAATCATCCCACTCGTAACCATATCTCCTTGCTCATTCACAAAACACTTTCGAGATGAGACCTGACAGCCTTCGCTAAAGAACCTCTGTCGAAGCTTCTCCGAATCTGCTGTTCTTACAAACGTAACGCTCAAAATAGTCATAACTGCATAACACTGTTTTATGGGAAAGGTTACGATAGACAATTTGAGAAGATAAAAACTTCATCATTTGTCCTGCCTCCGTTCCCATACTCCAACCTTACATTTACGATTTCATATTGATTCTCATGGATATGATATCCACATATGGAAACGGAAAACATTCCCCACCCTTCTTTGATGTACGATTACGCCATCGACTCGTTTCTGTCTCGTTTCACTGTTTTCGGACAGAGCCGATCAATTGTAGGTGAAAAAAACGAACCAGGTTGTCAAAACGGCTTTCCTGGGTCATTAACATTGAGGATATGAAAAGCACACACGTTTATCATTGAAATTAAATTTCAAACCTCCTATGAAATGTACTAAAGTAACTTCAGTCGAATAATTCAACAGTGTCATTTCGAGATTAGTATATTCCTAATAGGCTTTCGCACGACTCCTCATGAACAAGTAAATTTGTTTTGCGGTGTGTGTCTGTGGTGATCTTTATTGCTACGTCATTTGATAGTTATTGGCTAAGTTATCATCAGTCCATTGAGAACAGACCTACAAAGTGTGAAATTTACACGCAACATGAAATCATCTGTGGCACACTGCGATTTTCAATGATTTTGATAATCGTACTTCGTCTGAGTACATGTGCGTGCGGAGTGTTAATATGACAAACCAAACTGTTTTAAAAATGGTCCCACATCTAATCTCAATAGCAAAATTTATAGACTACTCAGTAAGCTGACCAGTGCTTCCGAAATCCTGATACAAACAAGCGAATTCGAATGTCTTTTGCGTTTATCACCTTGCTTCCACCACTCTAGGGCATAAACGTGACAAACCATGTGTCCACAGATTCACTTCGCTACTAGAAATTCTTTGAAGTTCTGAGTGACTTCGAGACATTTGCGTAGAAATCCGGTACCAAAAGGTTGCTGAAAATGTTCTTGGACCAGATGAAAAGGTTCCAAAACATGTCTGCAGCAGTATTGCCTATTATATGATTCTTACAGTTTGGAATACACCATCATCGAATTCAGAGAGAATGACTTCAAAAAGCGCTAGAATTTTATGGGGAATGCGAACTGAATAGAATCACGTGCACAAAGTCACGAGTCGAATGCCTACCGTTCAAAATTTCGACAACTAGTTGACTGTTTGCTTCGGCACCACAATGACCGTCTAGGACTGACATATTCATAACCTTATAACCCACAAATTTTAAACTGGCCAAGGGCGGTCAAGTTCCCCATCACGGCTTGACTGTTTCTAGTACCGCGGACTAACTCAAGTCACGTACATGTTCACCATTCTCCCGGTGCCTGAATGGTCAGAGTTCCAGCAAAAAACGACAATTTTTTCAACTACATTGGTCTAACTGAATCTTATGTTGGGGATCTCTGACTGTGCCGACGAGATCAAGGTTGAGTCATTCTCCTAACCATCTTAGCTGAAGCGATTTTTAATCTTTTTTTTATTTAAGCGACGTCATTCGGGCCGTCCCACAACTGGGGTTAAGATTTATCAACAGAATCTGATTGATCCACTCGTTGTGTCGAAAAAGATGGACTCAAGCAAATCTCTACAAACACATGTGTGGAAATTTTAAGATATTCCAACACACGCAGACAGAAACACACACACACACGATCGCAGTTAGATTTATCCGTGTGACATAGGTCTTATTTTGGCTGAGGCAGTTATTGATTAACCAGATTGATCCACTTTCTTTCTATCATACGGGATTCCATCTAATTAGTGTTCTGTCACCAATTCGTTACTTCGAATATACCTGTTGTGGTTTGACCCATCAAATCACACCAGAAATAACCAAAAACGGTCTGCTTGTTGGATCGATCAACATGATGAAATCCTTGGAGGACGATGTTTATGGACTAACTTTTAATGAGTCGCGTCTCATCCCCGCAATGAACTAGTAAGTGAATCTACTTTCTGCAAAACGCGCAAGCTTCTTAGTTAGTGTTTGAGAACCAAAGACCCAATTCTTATGGATAGTACGCTAAGATGAATGTCATTTTTGAGCACAAGCTCTGACCACTACTGAAACTTGGTAACTAAGACAGCCGCGCTTCTTAGCGTGTAAGCACCAACAGCCACATACAGTAATAATATTCCTGTCCACACGGAAATTGCGGCTATACATTTTTGGATAGATCTAGTTATGAGTTTTCATGGCTTGAAATTTCAGAAACGAGAGCCATCCCTCTTGGACGGCCACAGGTAAATCCCGACCATCACCGTCATCAACGGCGAAACAACGTCAATATGCACCTCCGTCTAACTACCGCGAAACTGAGAAAAACGCCCGGTGGAAAGAGAGGGGAAGAGCTGGGAATTATTACAAACGGTCTTATGGTCCTCTGGAAGACTATCAAGAGCAGGTTATCTGAACCTTGGAAAAGCAACTAGACAGATTCATTTAAGCATCATATTGAAGCAAGACGCCAAACGTCAATTGTGAACCCCAATCAGTATCGGCCAACCATAAAACGATAGATGGACGCTAGTTAAGGAGTCCGATACCATTCAATAGGGCCGGTTAAGTGCTGTGTTCTGCCGGGTTCCCAATCATGTGCGAAGTAGATCCTGCGGAAAAGAGTGCAAAAAGACGCACAGCACCCAGTTTGACAGTAGCTGCCTTGATTTCACCTTGGCAATCTATACTTTCCCAAGATGGCCCGTCGCCAACAATAGATCGGAGTTGAAAACATTGGTAGGCGCTGTTTGAGGATGCGAAATACATGATCGAAATAGTGAATTTCACCTACAGCTTTGCTGATTTCAGTTCTAAAAGCCTGGTTGCAAAGCACGATGATTGTCGTATTGCTACCACAGTGGTTTGGCTTTTGGGGTACATGTTGCCACCCTTGTTCCAACCAAGAATATGACCTGGAATTTCCGTGAAATGTTAGCTGATGCCATCCTTTCATATCCACTAATCGGCAGTTTTTGGGATGTACTATCTCAAGCATCCGCACGCCTAATTCGGTTGAATGAAAACTAAAAGTGGATAAAATCTTCAAAGTTTACCCGAAGTTCGCTAACTTGGAGGCAGTAGCGATGCATCAGCACGGTAGGAAAGCAACAGTGCTGAACACTGACGTCATGGTGTCCTTGATGATGATGATGATGAACTTGGAAGCTTACGGTGGTGTTTCCTCAAAACTCCCGGGGAAAATGACCACAGGACTATCAGTGCCTATCTTAGCCGAGTCCTCAACGCTTCCGGCTGTTGCGTTCCCTTTGGATGTTACATGTACGGAATTATTTGAATTATTTGTCATTTCAGTGAAACCCTCAAGCCTCGTTACTCTCAACAAGAAAGCATTTCAAGTTCTTCCCCAAAATTATGCACCATCGTTTATTCCTATGATTTTGGGTCAATTGGCCAGACAAGAAACCAAACCTGAGTGTTGATTCACGCAGGTTGTATTGTGTGTGATGAATGGGAGTTATGTCTAAACGTCGGGAGTTTATGTATAGAAAGAGTGACGTCACGGTGGTTTGATTAGGAAATACAGTTTGATTTCGGGGCACAATGTTTTCCCGACCCGAAACCATTTGCAATACGAAACATACGGCGGATAAAATGCGTCATAAGGGTTTTGGGAACGAATACGATCGTCAAAAAGGCTATTGCGATAAATGATTGCGGTTTAATTACAGCAATTTTCAAGAGAAATTTGTCAACTTATGACACCCAATAGAAACGTTTCATACTCTTTTCAGTTGTGTTCTGTGGACAATTTAACAACGATTTTCTCAAGGGTTTTGACTGCTCAACGTTCGAACCATCTGTAATTCGGGTCACATTATATTACTGACCCAAAACAACAGGGGTTCAGACTATCTGACCACACAAGTGGTGGTTAGTGTGTGAATTTGCTGATCGGAAGGTCCGTGGTTCGAGCCCGACCTCTGCCTCTCGACTTCCCCTGTCTAGGCTTGGGTGACCTGGCAGTATCCCAGCCCTCGTGCTTCCTTTTGGTGGCACTGTAGCTAGGCACCGAAATGGTGTTACAGTTGAACGGAGTATTTCATTCAGTTCTATTTTGAACATTCTGTGTTAACAGAAACCATTTGGGATCGGTTGTTTTATTCTTTCCATATAAATGATGAAAATACATTAAAGAGGCGCCCATCAAAGCAAATGTAAGCGAAGGACTAGCCGAAAAAACGCTGTGACTAGCACGAAGAGCGTTTGCAGGATAAATAGTTTGGTTGACTAACTACCTGATGCGGAGATTGACGGTGAGTGCGGAAGTCTTTCAAGACCAAGTTCGTTTTCATCCCAGAAATAGACTACGTGTGTAACTCTGTGACGCAGGGAGGTCTGTGGTACTAGGTGGCGCTTGGTATCACTTCACCGGGATCGGGCCAACGTTGAATCTTCGCTATCAACACTTCTAACACCGTAGTGGTTAACAACGCTTCTTTATAGCCATTTGAAAACAAAGCAAAGCAGAATGAAGTTGAAGCTGAACGGTGTTTTTTTATCCGTGCTCAAGGATTGTGCTAACCACCAGGTAGAAACTTCCTCTCGGCAAAAAGGCCACAAAATTAGTAAGTAAAACTGCATATTTCCGCAGCAGGAGGGTTTCCGTGTTCATCTTCAGTATGCTGAAGATCACACGATCGATAGGATGACTACAACCGTAATGAGCAAAAATATAGAAGGTTTCATTAGTAATGGGCGAAAAAGTCATCTAGCATTATTCCTCAGGTCAAACGGTGCCCATAGTGAATTGTCCCTGGAGTGACAGTGTAATGACACCAAGGCTAGGTGCACAGATTCTGAAATCTGAACTATTCTTTTGAAAGTTACTGTGTCAAATTAGGAAAAATCGTTCGGATGTAACATTCTTCCAGTTTCTAACTGCCATGCCACTCGAAGGAAGCACGAGGGTTGAGATACTGTCAGGTCGCCCAAGCCTAGACAGACAAAGTCGAGAGGCAGAGGTCGGGCTCGAACCACGGACCTTCCCTCTAACCCCTTGAACCACCTCGCCCCAGCTGTGGAAAAAAGATTTCAGTGGTTCACAAAGGTGTAAACAAACATTAGAAAACCACAGTGAGAACGTTTCGTTTCATAATTGCGACTAGCTCAGTCCAGACCATGAATCGCAGATGCTTTTGACAGTTCCCCCAGAAAATCCACTTCTGGATACAGAACGCAAGATACAAACAAATTACCTTCCACATGTCAGAAACCAAGGCCACACCAGGCCTGTTTTGCATCACACAAAGCCTGCTTAACCGTTTCATGCGCAATGTGATGTGTAGTCTGATTGAAGGAAACGCACGCCACCCTCGAACACCCTATCGTTGAGAGGGCAGCATTGGCAACTAACACAGTATAATGAGGTCATCCGTCTTCAATCGACCACAAAGAAATTGCAGTGGTGTTTGTGCCAGTGAATGGATATACAACTTCAGTTTGAACGACGGCTTAAGTGATGCCACTCAGGTTACACCCAAATGGTGGGCTTAGTGGGGGCGATGATCTCATGAACGATGGAACTTACGCACCACATGCTGTGTACATGACTGCATCAGAAGCCACTGACAGGAAAAAATAAACCCATTAATCACGGGTAATTTTCGCCATCAGAGAGGGTTTGCTTTGGATCTTTTCCAGATAAGCCCCGCCACTTATGCGAAAAGTTAAGCCACGCCACTTTCTGGCAGCTCCAATCTAATGTACGCGCACAACTTTGATTTATTTTCGATGAAAATAATTCCTCATCCGCATCTAGATTCATTTTGTGATAAAGTTTTCGCCGTTCGGAAGTAAAACCTCAAAGAGCTTTCTGACGCTTTCAGCTCTCGTTCATGACAAGGAGACGGCAATACGTTTTTTGCAAAGCCATGGAGTGATCCATCAGCAACGTTTATGCAACGATGGCCACCAAATGACAATTCCAACTGTTTCTGACAGGTGGAGGTGTAATGCCCGACACTGTCGGCACGACATCGGTCTCCGAAAAAGGGAACTTGCCTGGAGCGGTCTACGATGGAGTTTAGGACAGTAATTCTAGTCATTTATTGCTGGCCCAAAAATTTGGCGAAAATCAAATTCTCTCCAGAGAAATTATCTATTAGCTACACGACCGCTGTTGACTGGAAGAGCTTTCTTCGCGAAGTTTGCACCTGGAGGCTTTTGCAGACTCCAACAGTTATCGGCGGCCCAGGTCTACACGTCGAGATCGATGAAACGGTAATACCTCGCCGTAAAAACCACGCAGGGACAGTCCTTCCTTAGCAGTGGATTTTCGGAGGGGTCTGCCGGGAAACTAAAGAGGTGTTCATGTATGCAGTGCAAATTTCACCCTCTTAAGTAAAAACTAAAAGTACGAGTTTCATATCCTCTTTTTTGTAGTCATTTCTGGGTGGTGGAGCTTATCTGGAAAACAGCCTTTGCTTTAATCTATTGTATATTAAATTATAAGCTCACAGTAACTATGACAGGCTGGAAGCTAACGCCGCCCTTGCTTGATCAATCTGGCAAAAACGAACGAGTTGCGCAATACATTTCCAATCTATCGGTGCAGCGTACATCTGTCAGCCTGTCTTTAACCTTAGTGAATAAAGTGGGCGCCATATAGAGCTAATTTGAAAAAAGAACTGAACACGACATTGACCTGGAACGGGATAGAGAAAGAATTGAGAAAATGCGGGATTTTGAGGAAGGGAATATGATTCACTACTAATGACCGAGGATGTGGGAATCACGAAGCTGTCCAGCTGGAATACACTGGAAGATGAAGGAACGTTGAGCATATCATTTGCACTAACGTCACGACTACTATACCTTGGGTTTTATCTACCAGATGTTAGTTTTGGTCAATTACAAATTCACTGTACCTACACCTTCATGGACCATCGAAACATTGTACGTGAAGCGGCATGTCAATTCCGTTGGTACCTTTTCTCTGTTCCCTATTGACGTATTGATCGACAACACGGTGAAAGCTTCACAGGCTCCGGCGAACTACTTACTCCAGATGCCACAGAACGCAAAATCAGCCAATGTTATTACTTCCTTTCAATCATACCAACGTGTATTTCGTTCTATCATACATCCTAAATGAATATACTGTTTCTTACCTGCATTAGTATTAGTCCAAAGAAAATTCACCGTAAAATCCAATGATGGTGGCGTGCGGTGTATCATGTGGCTGGTAGCCTCAAGCCTCCAAAGTAGTACCATCCAGCATCACACAAAAACGCAGCCGGCAAATAGTGCGAGCCTGCTCTCTAAGCAAACAACAGACTGCCGGTTTCAGCCCGGTTGACAGTCGGCAATTTAGACCAATCAGAACTAGGCTTTGGGCGACAAGTCGTACGTACCACTGCAGTCTATGTGATGCATCGATTTCCACGGTGTCCTTATCGGTGGGCGAATGGCGATTGGTCGCCGCCGGTTGATTCACATTGAAATCGGCTAAGTGAAGTGACAGAAGTGGGGTAACTGACTCAGTCATCATGTGTTTCGGCAGACTGAAGGGTAAAATGAAGGAATACGCCTTCGGTTGTAAAACATTGGGAACCGACTGAGGAATAGTCGTCTTCCGAGAAGGTTGGAAAATAATCGGTCGATTTATTTCTGGACAGTGTTTCACTTTTGACACAAAGCCTCCCTCTGACCAAGCGATAAGGTTAGAAATTTGGTCACAAGTTCTAAGTTCTAAGTTCTAAGAGAACCAGTCAAGAAGGTCTCTTCCGACCAGCTAATTAAATACCTCAGCTGACAACTGACACTGATTTAGAAGAGAAGAGATTCTTTTGAGTGCTTCCAGTTTTACAGGTGTTATAACCTAGCCAGTTGGCCCGATGAAGATCTTGGGTCGAAATCGAAATATTGCTCGGCTATAATTCAAACTGACTGTTTTCCAAACCTTTCAGGAAACGAGCAACCGCCTCGTATTTATTTGGTTCGAGGGAGTTCAGTTGTCAAAAAGTTGTCCACAAAAATTTGAAAAAACCAAGAAAAAACATTGCAAAAACATGCAAGTAGCAGATGACTTTAACTGGCTACATTCTTAAGTATCCGCAATACTAGTAGCTTATGCGCAGTTTTCTTGGCCACGGCAAAATATCGCTCAACGCCTGGAGGGTTAAACTAACCTGCTTCTGACAGGTACCGTAGAATGATCTATCAAAGGGCAGGTTCATTGGTTGCATTCACAGGCCTGGGAAACCAGTAGAGTGAGTCTCTAGGTTGATGGCAACACCCTTGAAAGTAAAGGACGGATCTATTCACAGAGTAAGTTGGCTTTCCGATTAACTATATATCCAGAAACACGATAATATATTGAGTTAGTGCTCTAAGATCTCACTAACAGACCCGCAACTGGGTACGGATTGACAGTGCTCCATTGCTTAGGGAAAGTTTTCTTCAGTTTCTGGTCAGTTCTGCAATCAGGTCTATCGGGAAAACTTTCTTAGAACAGCCACACTACCAAATCTGATACTACAGGCTGCCAAAAATAGTAAGTAACCTCCTGTCTCACTGACCTGTCGGTAGTCGACTTCCACCACCTGCTGTTTGCGAGAGAATCATGACTGGAAAACACGACATAAAATCGATGGCAGAGTCGATCATGAAGGGACACAGTTTATGATTCGACGAGTCACTGGTTGCCAATTCGAAATAGGGTCGGAAACAAATCTGTCAGGATAATCGAATTTCGGGAGACTCCAGTCTAGTCAGAGACTAGTTCCTTCCTTTCAATTAGGCTGACTGTAGCCAGAAAAAGACAGAAATTAACACTGACAAATTTATTGCTTATCCATTAAATTTAGGAAATCACGGGCTCTGCTTTAAGAAGACAGGCAATCGACCAGCAGGAAACGGTTTATAGCAGCGTTCAGATATGAACATCATACGTTATTATACATTTGCATTTGTTCGCTGTGGTTACGGGAGCGTCGTCACTATATGTTTGCAAATATTGTTATTCCAATATATGAATATTCACTCATCTTACTAGAGCACCATACCTTAGAGGCAGATGTAAGCTGTGATTTTAACAACTAACAGTAAAATTTACTTCATCTGAAGAAGTAGACGTGTGAGGGATATTTCCCAAAGTTTTACCTGCGCAAGTCAACATACTCTTCCAAAGAACACTTGAATGTTCCTGGATGGGTGGTGATCTACACAACTAAGTATCACGCCCGTAATACTGCATGATTTTCGGAGAGCAATCTATTGAACTTTAGAGTGTAATGCTCGGATTCCAAATCCCGGTGCTAGAACGAACTGTGAGCATCGTAGTTGCCACCACAACAGTGCAAATAAAAAGTGCAAGCGCGCCTCAGTTTCAACAGGGATTAAAGAACCTTTTGAGACGCGAAGAGATCTGTCCTGCGTACATGCTTACTCATTCCGGACAGGCTCTATGTTTAAAAAGCGTCGCTTGTTACAACACACATCGGTTAATCCAAATAAGCTTTTTAAAAGTAAATTTTCCGTTTTTGAAATTCTACCAAGACTCTGCAACTACCTGCATTGGATAAATCTAGTGGCCATTAAATTTCCAATCACGAAAGTGATCATCTTTTGTCAGTTGTAACTTTTTTTGTTATATTTTGAACTGAAGCTTTTGTTTTACTGGACTAATCGCGATCTGAAGGTTTTCCGATGAATTCGTCCTTCTTCTCGAATCTGCATTAACAAAATCATCCAAGTTCCGAACCACCGAACTACTGTAGATCCCCAGAGTCACCGATTGGTCACTAAATGTGTATCGAAGATCCTTCGCCCTATTGCATCTGTTGACGTTAGATAGAATTTTGTGAAAACAGACGATGTAGAGCTTTTTTCCCCGAAAATTGAGCTCCCTCCCAATTCTTGTGCAATAACAGTTTAAGAACTGTCGTTGGGCTGTGAATGTGATACTGGCTTAAGAGACATTCCTTCTCACTACTATTCCAGGTGAAGAACATGAAACACAGTGGAGGCCGTCCAACTTTGTCTACTAAAACTCGACGCAGTTTGCGTTCGTCTTTTACCGATAGTGAATAGTTGACCGTAGTGTATAAAGCCAAACGATCACCAAATTTTGACAGAATCCTTCCCGTCTTTCTGGTGTTTTGTTCACAAGTTCCAGCAAGTGGAGTGAGTGAATCCTTGGACACATTGCTCTCTATGTTTGGGTCCAACATCACTGATGTTCCACTTATCATAGCAAGTGACCCTAACAAGACCAGTCTCGAGCCTTTTCTTCTTCTTCTGGTTTTCCGGGATCTGCTCCAGGGATTAAACTTGACCGGGGCCCATACTGGTCACATGATTCCCGGCTCTTCTCATGTGTATCGTACTCACTGTGTGCGGTGCTTGATGAGTTTACCCACTCCATTGTTTGTGCTCTGGTTTTTGTGTGCCCCCTTTTAAATTATCGTCATTTCATAGCCTCAAGTCGTACCATTCCCGGTGGTGCATGCTTCCTTACTTACTAGTCTGCTGTCGACTAAGTCCTTATCCTCCACACAGTACAGCTCCCCGTCCATTTAAGGATTTCTTATATGTGATATATTGACGATTTAATACGTAGTATATAAAAAACCCTGCTCCTTGGAATAGCTATTCCGGCTCTAACTACTTAAAAGACACGAGCAGTGATATGTTCCATCGCTTGACCTCTTCTGGTCCGTTTCACTTTGCCCGTAAGACGGACGGCGATACATTTGATGCTTTTACACCTCCCATGCTCACCTCATTGTTTCGTTTCTCGGCAAAAGTGACTCTATACTAACAGTTTTCTCAAATCATTTGTCATCGCGGATAAAAACCCCTACTCCTGGGGGTTCTTTCTCCATAAGTAACAGGCTGATACTTTTAATCTCGGTTACATTACACATCATCATCATTCTCGGCTGTAATAACCGCGTACTTGTCGCACAGTGGTTGTAGCGGCCACAGTTTCGTTTACCGTTGGTTCGGGGAGGTGGGGTAGGTAGCTGCGCATCAGAGGCGGGATAGTGCCTTCCAGAATAGGAGCAGCGGCGAACCCAAAACAACGGTCGCTTGCTAACTTCATGCTTCTTTGAACTTCATGCAAGAACCGTGTTTCACACTCACTAGTTAGACCACTAGATCCGATTGTTTCAACAAAGCATTTGCATCCCTGGTCACGTGATGCAGCTGTAATCGATCAACAAAGGTCACTTGAACATTTTTCACTCATTAGAGTTCAACGTATTCTGCAACCGTAGTTAAATTGGAAAGACTTGACACATCAGTCAAGGTTATAGGCATCCTGCACCTGAATGTTGCACCAAGAATGTGGCTGCGTGAACGTTTGCAAACTACAATTTATTGGTAGGAACTTTTGAATGAAAATTTTAATGAATGGCACTTTGTAGCACAACGAAATGTCAAAATGAGAAATTCAAATATACGTAGCATTAGTGACAAGGGAAGCCTGTGTTTGGGCATAAGCTTCCCACTTGCCAGAGGGTCGCTCTGCAGACTGAGGACCCTCGCTGCCCTGACGCCTGAAACTCACAGTTAGTTAAACACGCCTCTCCATAGTCGACTAGCAGTTGACAGCTATCAGCGACCTTACCGGTTCACTGGTCCACAATGTGTCAAACAATGTTATCGTCCATATACCCAAGGCACTTTGGTGTACGTTGTTAGAAAGGACGTGTTGGACTATGGCTCTGGACCGCTGGTCTCCGAACTAAGACTCCATTCTTCGTGGAAGAAATCATCATTTAGTTCTTCTTCAAAGTATCAGATGTGAAAATCAAATCACTCGATTTTACTTGCGCGACCAGGTCTGATATGGACGAATATCAGAAAAGGTGTCATGATCGATGCACCGTAGTGAACGGTCTGAATGAATTTGGACACAGGTTCGTACACACACGGAAGAGCAGTGCCTTTTGCTTGCGATTTCCAACTAATGAATTTCATCCAGAATGAATACCTTGCACAACAGAATGCTAGATCCGGAAATAGACCTTCTCAGCCACTGAACTCGTCCAAAACCATGTTAATGTTCCATCAGCCAGATCCAGTCAACAGCTTCAGATCCTGGAATTGTTTTCAACTGAAAAACACCGGCTGAAGGCATACTCCTTCCCAGCAACCGAATGTGCTGCACCAGGCCACCTGATTTCTTATTTGACACGATATTCGAGATATAGTGATACATTGCATGGACGTAGTACATTACTCATAAGGTTGTGTGAAGCATAGCAAAGGAGCCAGCCTGCAACACTGTGCGACTTCCAAAATATCATTTGGTTTGACAGTGCAATTACTGCTGGTATTTTCAGTAAGTAGTGAGATCTGCGAAATAGTGCGTTGCAGGAACATCGAACCCTGACTTTGTTGTAACAGGTCGACATTCTAAATTGCTTCATTTTTCAATGTGCGCTCATCAGAGGACTAGCTGGAATAGATGACCAGGAGCTTCTATTTAGACGGCTCTTTCTACCGCAGACTTTACTAGTCAATTAAGTTAGAAGTGTTCCTTAACGGTCTGGTATTCAAAAGCGCATTTTCGGTTGTGCAACGGGTACTTTCATTGCAGAATGTCTCCAGCAAAAGAAGCTGCGTTGGTTGGGACATGTGTTGCGTATGGCGAACCATCGTTTGCCGAATTGAGTGCTGTTTTCCATGCCCAACCCAGAGTGGCGTAAACAGAGAGGTGGCAAACCCTTGACGTGGCAGAGGATTAGGAAGGAGATCACGAAACGCTTTGGTGCTGTCGGTGCTACTCGCCTTCCAGGATGGGAACCACATGATCCTCACTGTGCCTGGTAGGAGACACTACAAGATATGGCTGCCAACCGATGTCAGTGGCGTTCTTGTTGTCAGTTTCTATCCAGATTGCCTGAGTGAATGTCTGGAGGTGTAGGCACCTCAGGATGATTGTGGTAAGCTAGCACTAAGTCCCTTTCCCGTCCCGTTTACTCTTTTCTTTACAATAAGGCTTTCAAATAAATCATGGTTGTACGGCAGTGAAGCATTGGTTTTGAACACTGATGTCATGCTGTCGATGATGATGATGATTAAAAAATCAATCATGTTTTGTCTGTGTACAAATTTTATGAACATTTCACGCGAGACAGAATGACGTATGTGCATATCCATCGGCCACATCTGGGACAGAAATCAGTGTCGATGGGTTCTGTGTAATCGCCCGTTATCAGTTTTAGCTTTCGGCTATTTGTTTACTTGCTTGATTTGACGACCTCATGGGGCAATCAATCATCAGGTGTGTCGACAACCATGAGCATTGCTTTGAGACATTACGTACAACTTATGCAATCTAATTTTACTGGTCGTTAGTGGACATCTGTCAGCTGGAAGCATCAAAGATCAACTTGTGAAGGCAAGCACATTTTGTCTCCGTTGATGCAAGAACACATGCACATTTCTGGGCAGGGACAATAACTCGGGTCTTTGAAACGGGAGTGCGTGATGTCAAGCACTGGATTACTCAGACCGAATTGGGATCTGATCAAAGGGCGACAATTTTGAATGCACACAACTATTCTCTATCGATATCACACTAATTCCACAAAGTACTGATTCACTGCATCATGACGAAAATATTTCGTGCCGCTGATTCAGATTTGTTACCGTCACACACATCTACTGACTCCGATGTTTTAAGTACTAACCACAACTGATACACTAAGTTGTCACATTAGTGTTCGCTTTAGCCAGTTTGAATATGTCGATATTTTGCTATCCAGCGGAACTAATTAAAACAGCCGAGCTGGAATAGCGATGAACTTATCATTATCATCGACAGCATGACATCAGTGTTCAAAACCGATACTTCACTGCCGTACAACTATCATCCATTTGAAGTCCTCATTGTGAAGGAAAGAATAAGGGTGGACGGGCAAGGGACTTAGTACTAGCTTACTACAATCATTCCGAGGTGCCTACACCTCCAGACATTCACTCAGACAACGTGGATAGAAACTGACAACACGGACACCACTGACGTCGGTTGGCAGCCATATCCTGTAGTGTCTCCAACCAGGCGTATTCCGCATCCTAGAAGGCGAGTAGCACCAACAGCACCCAAGCGTTTCGTAATCTCCTTCATACCCTTCTGCCAGGTGAAGTGTTTACCACCTCTCTGTTTACGCCAATCTGAATTGGGCATGGAAATGAGTACTCTCTCCCGTAAACGATAGTTCGGCATACGCAGCACATTTCCCAACCAACGCAGCTTCTGATGCTGGACACATTCTGCAATGGTAGTACCCGTTGCACAACCAAAAACTCAACTTCTAATCGCCTCGTTATGAGTATGCCGAAACCAATCCACACAAGCTATAGTTCTGAGGCAACGATTGTCGAACACCTGAAGACATCTCAGTTCCGCTGCTCGAACAGGCCAAGTCTCACACCCATACAACAAAACAGCCCGTACTGAAGCTTGATACACACATCTTGAGATTCAGGGATACACCACTTTGACACCACGGGCATCTCAAATTAGAAAACGCATTGAGCTCATCTGTCACGCTCCAACAAGAACTAATACAACTTCTAAGATACGTGAAGTGCCCCACAACTTCCAGTACCTCTCTCTGGATTGCAAGTGGCGTGTTCAGTGACTTCACGTCCACGTGCATGACCTTCCACTTTGTAGGTGCAAAATGCGTACCAAAGGAAGGGATGACCTTGGTCAGTTCATCCAAGAATACTAGCACCTTCTCCTCCTCTTCGAGGATGAGAACGATGTCGTCTGCATATTCCAGATCAACTTCTAAGATACGTGAAGTGCCCCACAACTTCCAGTACCTCTCTCTGGGTCGTAATTGGAGTGTTCAGTGACTGCATGTCCTTACACTTTGTGGGTGCAAAGTGCATACCAAAGGACGGGATGATTTCGGCCAGTGAGGAATAAATTAATAACTCCAGAATTTCCAAAGATTATCATAATTTTCCTTGTAAGTAAGAGAGGTTGATCGTCGTAACGTGTCATGTTATACTCGCTAAGCAAAAAAAAACACCGCTGGTTGGCGCGATCGCTACGCAGTTACGCCAAACATGAGTGTGCGCAACAGCGTTGAAGATCCGGAGCATTCCTTCAGGCAAAATAGAATGAACCTACCACACACTAATGGGGAAACAATCCCATCAAGGGTCGCTCCGGAAACGTCAGCAAAAATTTCGTCCTGCAAATGAAGCTAATTTATGCTAAAAGGCCGAGAACCGCTGTGCAATTCAGACGAGGACTAACTCACAGTTAGCATGAACCGTTTGAGAAGTCATCGCTTGAGGAACCAGTCAACAGGCGATGCGAATTCCGCGCTATGTCCTGTCCCACTGCGGATGAACCACACCGTGGATCGGTCCGTTCGTAATCAAACGGTTCGATCTTTCTATACTAGTCAGGAGGTAGCGCACTCACACCCTCCTGGAGATTCGCACAGTTGTCGGTTCTTAATAAGGATGTCAGTGGCGTTGTTGTTGTCAGTTTCTATCCAGATTGCCTGAGTGAATGTCTGGAGGTGTAGGCACCTCAGGATGATTGTGGTAAGCTAGTACTAAGTCCCTTGCCCGTCCACCTTTATTATTTTCTTCACAATAAGGCTCTCAAATAAATCATGTTCGTACGGCAGCGAAGCATCGGTGTTGAACACTGATGTCATGCTGTCGATGATGATGAGCCTAACAGGTCTACTTGGCATTTCGGCATAGGTTGACTCTACTTACGGGATGGAAGCTCTGCTGAAAATTTTCAACGTTTCTCATACTAGCGACATTTTGGAATCCGTATTTCTCCGAGGGGGGGGGGTCAAAGAACTCTAATTTTTAGGCTCGTCATGTTAGTACACCATTGTGGGCTTCAGTGGTTTATCCAAACTGTTATGTGGGACGCCTATTTTTTCAATTGGGTGCATGCGACAAGCCTAACCACATTTCAAGACAAACCCCCAGACCACATAGTTCCTGTTACGTGAGAGGAGGAGAGGGCGAGATAAGGGGAGGGAACAACCCCAGAACGAAATAATTCGGTACACATCCAAGATACTACCTCATGTGCGGAGTGTATTGCCGAACCTTAAAACTGTTTTTCATGTGATAACTAAAGAACAAGTCACTGATCAGGATTATCGTACGGGTGCTCTCTCAAGGCAGCCTGGCAGTATCTCAGCCCTCATGTTTCCTTCAGGTTGCATGGCAGTTAAGCCCCGAAGGGCTGAATGGTTTGATTTAAGGGTGCTAAGAAACGGAGCAGTTAGAAATGTAGTCCCTCTCTTCGTCCGGAAGGGAATAAAGGATGAGACAGACTACAGTTCACAGACCCACCAATTCGTAGTCAGACTGTCAGAAATCTCGTCAAAATCACCGAGATTATTTACCCAAAAAACCGAAGAGGATAACAGTACATGCAATTGAGCGTTGTTTCTCCAAAAAAGCATTGCAAACATGCAATATCATCAGAGTTGAGGAGAGTCGGAAATCGGTCGTATGAAATGGAAAAGAATGATCACAGTCAGTTGGCAGGGATAGAACAGCATCTACAGAAAGGTAGTGGGACGGAGCCATGTGGTACAGAATAAGTTATGAAAACAGGCTCTACCAGTCACCCCAACTGTTGTCATCACTGGACTGGACGGGCAGCTTCGATTTCACAACCTTTTTGGATTTGGGTTTAGCCGCCGTCGGGGCTAGTTTCGATGAAATTTCGGCGGTTTTACGGGCAACCGGTCGTGTCACATGAGGCGAGGATTCCAAGGTAAGAGTTTCGAAAAATTCATCAGCGTCCCATCCTAAATTATCTGAGGCTGGTTTGGACGAGCGACGAGCCCGGTCATTCGTAGAGTCGAAAGGGGGGATAGTCGTTTTTTCTCGATCGAATTCTCCAGGATTCTCAGAAGTCTGTTCCACTTCCAGACTTCCCCATCCATCGTCACCCTCAGGACCCCAACCGTCTTGGTTATCTTCAAAAGAAGGAATTTGGTCGAAAGCGCCATGGGATTTGAGTGACATTGGCTTTGAGGCCTTCGGAGGTTGCCGTGATTCGTCTGCAACACAAGACCAAAGGTGAAAAAGACTAATCGGCAAGGACCACTGAAGGTCAGAGAAAAGACAGACACAGTAAGAAAAACGTAGGCAGGTATATGCCCCTTCGAAGTTCCGAATTTCCCTGACACGAAAACCCGACCCACGGTGTGAAAATCCATAACCCTCTAACAAGAGAGACTTCATCGGTAAACCCGCATTGGTAGCTGCTCTCATCATGAATGGGTACCACAAACAGGGGAAAGTCTAGTAAACAAACTTCGATCACGTGCCGCTCGCTCTAAGCCAAAACATGAAGGTCACTGTACGAAGTCAGCGATTCAATTTGTCTACTTGTACCCTCTGGAATAAATTGCATCCCAGCAGCATTTCAGACTAGGATTCAGTCTTCGAGTTCTACCGAACGGATGAGTGGGATAGCCTGATGTACTCGAATTCGTTCACCTTTCTTTCACAGTGAACTGAAGAACGACCTTATTAATCTCGAAACCAGGCCAACACATCAAAGGCATTTTTTCGCCCAAGACGCATTATATCGAAGGTATCAGGAGAATGGTTTCACAGATGACGCCACTATCAAAGGAACAGCTTCCGACAAAGCTTCC